CCATAAAAGAGAGGAAAAAATGTTGAATTTTAAGAAAAACGGATTTTTGAATTTTGATAATTTTCGATAATTTTAGATTTTTTACCAAAGAGTCGAGACAATTTAATAAGTAAAGTATTTTCTAAAAGCACAAAAATAATGAAGCTAAATCCCATAAAAGAGAAGAAAAAATGTTGAATTTTAAGAAATTCGGATTTTTGAATTTTTGATAATTTTCGATAATTTTAGATTTTTTACCAAAGAGTCGAGACAATTTAATAAGTAAAGTATTTTCTAAAAGCACAAAAATAATGAAGCTAAATCCCATAAAAGAGAAGAAAAAATGTTGAATTTTAAGAAATTCGGATTTTTGAATTTTTTCGAATTTTTGATAATTTTAGATTTTTTACCAAAGAGTCGAGACAATTTAATAAGTAAAGTATTTTTTAAAAGCACAAAAATAATGAAGCTAAATCCCATAAAAGAGAGGAAAAAATGTTGAATTTTAAGAAATTCGGATTTTTGAATTTTTGATAATTTTCGATAATTTTAGATTTTTTACCAAAGAGTCGAGACAATTTAATAAGTAAAGTATTTTCCAAAAGCACAAAAATAATGAAGCTAAATCCCATAAAAGAGAGGAAAAAATGTTGAATTTTAAGAAAAACGGATTTTTGAAATTTTTCGAATTTTTGATAATTTTAGATTTTTTACCAAAGAGTCGAGACAATTTAATAAGTAAAGTATTTTCTAAAAGCACAAAAATAATGAAGCTAAATCCCATAAAAGAGAAGAAAAAATGTTAAATTTTAAGAAATTCGGATTTTTGAATTTTTGATAATTTTCGATAATTTTAGATTTTTTACCAAAGAGTCGAGACAATTTAATAAGTAAAGTATTTTCTAAAAGCACAAAAATAATGAAGCTAAATCCCATAAAAGAGAAGAAAAAATGTTGAATTTTAAGAAATTCGGATTTTTGAATTTTTGATAATTTTCGATAATTTTAGATTTTTTGCCAAAGAGTCGAGACAATTTAATAAGTAAAGTATTTTCTAAAAGCACAAAAATAATGAAGCTAAATCCCATAAAAGAGAAGAAAAAATGTTGAATTTTAAGAAATTCGGATTTTTGAATTTTTGATAATTTTCGATAATTTTAGATTTTTTACCAAAGGGTCGAGACAATTTAATAAGTAAAGTATTTTCCAAAAGCACAAAAATAATGAAGCTAAATCCCATAAAAGAGAAGAAAAAATGTTAAATTTTAAGAAATTCGGATTTTTGAATTTTTGATAATTTTCGATAATTTTAGATTTTTTACCAATGAGTCGAGATAATTTAATAAGTAAAGTATTTTTCAAAAGCACAAAAATAATGAAGCTAAATCCCATAAAAGAGAAGAAAAAATGTTAAAATTTAAGAAATTTGGATTTTTGAATTTTTGATAATTTTGGATAATTTTAGATTTTTTACCAAAGAGTCGAGACAATTTAATAAGTAAAGTATTTTCTAAAAGCACAAAAATAATGAAGCTAAATCCCATAAAAGAGAAGAAAAAATGTTGAATTTTAAGAAATTCGGATTTTTGAATTTTTGATAATTTTCGATAATTTTAGATTTTTTACCTTAGGGTCGAGACAATTTAATAAGTAAAGTATTTTTCAAAAGCAAAAAAATAATGAAGCTAAATCCCATAAAAGAGAGGAAAAAATGTTAAATTTTAAGAAATTCGGATTTTTGAATTTTTGATAATTTTCGATAATTTTAGATTTTTTACCTTAGGGTCGAGACAATTTAATAAGTAAAGTATTTTTCAAAAGCAAAAAAATAATGAAGCTAAATCCCATAAAAGAGAAGAAAAAATGTTGAATTTTAAGAAATTCGGATTTTTGAAATTTTTCGAATTTTTGATAATTTTAGATTTTTTACCAAAGGGTCGAGACAATTTAATAAGTAAAGTATTTTTCAAAAGCACAAAAATAATGAAGCTAAATCCCATAAAAGAGAAGAAAAAATGTTGAATTTTAAGAAAAACGGATTCTTGAATTTTTTCGAATTTTCGATAATTTTAGATTTTTTACCAAAGAGTCGAGACAATTTAATAAGTAAAGTATTTTTCAAAAGCACAAAAATAATGAAGCTAAATCCCATAAAAGAGGAGAAAATATGTTGAATTTTAAGAAATTTGGATTTTTGAAATTTTTCGAATTTTTGATAATTTTAGATTTTTTACCAAAGGTTCGAGACAATTTAATAAGTAAAGTATTTTTCACATTAAAAAGTTTGACATTAAAAAATAAAAAATGCCAATACTTAATCCACAAAATTTAATTTTCAAAACAAACAAATGAATGTAGATAATTTGCTAACGGAAAGGAACTTACGATTATTATAATGTATGTATATTTCTCCTAACCAATCAGCGTCTTGAACATCACTCGATTTTACACGCGGATTACTGCACTCGATTCCAGGGGCGATAATCAATTAAAAGACTTTTTACATTTTCTGTAATGGAAAGCCCATCCCTCGCAAACAATTCTTCTGCAACCCGACATGCACAGAAGCTAGTAGAAATGCCAAATTCGCTTCATGCCCGTGTATATATGTTATAACATTCTTTTTATTTTAATAATATTATTTTAATACTTTTGAATAATTTAAATATTTATTTTGAGATTTTAATCCTATTTTAAATTTTTATCTATAACCAAAATCAATCAACTTTTTGACAATAGATTAGGAATGAACGTTATTTATACTTTGAATTTACTAATTTTTAATTTAGAGAAAATATTTTATTTTTTAGCGCCAGGATATTTTACATGAAAATATCCAAAAGATTAATTTATTAAAATTTTTAATTAAGCCAGACTAATTTAGGAAATTGTTAGGAACATACCTGAACATACCTAACAAACCGCGAAGAGGGGGTGGGGTTAAGGAGATCAACACATTAATTATTACACTATCACTGAATTTATATTTATGAATATTATAATTTTTCAATTTATTAAACTTTAATTTTGATTGAACAATTGATGTATTCGGCAGAAGGCCGAGTTTTTAGAATTAAAATACCCCATAACAATGCGGTGACAAGCAGCACTCTCAACAATCTAAATAATATATTTCACGCGCGCTCCGTTTTCCTAAAGTAAGTCCCAGGCGTACTAATATTTTTATGTTTCACTTATCCTCGCTAGTGCTCGCTAGATAATCAGCTTCGGTTGATAAAACAGAACGCCTTATTATCTTTAGTCACCAATCACTTAGGGTCTTTAATTATTCAATTTGGCCAATTAATTAATCAATTTATCCAATTTACAAGGTATAATTTATTTTTATAAAATTCAAAATACCAATGATAATTTTTATTTATTTTTAGGAAAAATAAAATGATTTTCGTTTTGATGGAATTTTTTTCTAAACTAATTCCAAAACAAGAAAATATTGTGCATTTAACAAGTGACTTTTATTTCATGATGTAAGTGTTTGAAAAAGGATAACACTTACATTTTCATTATTCTTCAACAATTTGTTGTTTTTATTTATTATTAGTCACAAAAGGTTGAACTATAATCCATAAGTGATATTTATTTATAAATTCTGTAAAATATTTGAATTGACCATCTCTTCCATATGGTCATCTCCCCCGGACTTATTATAATATAAACGAGAATAATAATTATTGCTCGGTGAAACATTCGAAGTGTTGTTATAAACACTATGAACTACGATGAACAGATTTGAGTATCATGTTCATTGCTAGTTTTGTTTGAATTAATCCTTTGCTTCTCGAAGTTCTCATTCTCTGTCATATTAAAAATATTAGGGACAAAGGATGAAATATTTTGTTATGCAACTCAATTCCAGTTTGATCTGCATAAAAATTAGATAGTTCTTCTATTTTGGCTACATTTCCTTCAATATAAAGACGGTCTAATCGCGAAGAACATTATTGTCTTGCATTTGAAAGTTTGTTTTGTATATTTCTCCTGTTTTGGGATTATTCAATTTGAAGTGTTGTCTGATATCAATTTCACTTAAATCAAGAATGACGGGAACTTTGTATTTGATTCTCTCTAAATTTGAATCAGCGAAAAGTCGCTGATTCACCTGCCCAGAGTATGCAGCTGATGAAACAGCGTATATACGCTGGAAAATCAGTGCATATACGCTGTTTCATCAGTGTATATACGCTATTTCATCAGCTGCATACTCTGGGCTGGTGAATCAGCGACTTTTCGCTGCTTCAAATTTAGAAGCCTTAAATAGAACGAACAATTTTTAAACCAATCATTGCGTATATGTAATTAATCTCCATTATTTCCATATTGTTTGGAAACATTGACCAAACATGTTCATTGAATACTTTTTCAATTGTCAAACTAGTGAGTTGATAAAATTAACGTGTGATGAGGAACAATAATCATAAGTGATGTAATCTTGCGATAATTGATAAAATACGTTTTCCTTAAGTTAAAAATAAGTTATGTCATCTGCTTGATTAATGATAAAACCCAAATAACCGTGTATGTGACCGTATAGTGTGAGAATAGAGCACTACTAATGATGTACTGATACGTTTCTTCGATATATTTCATGTCAAGTGTTTCATTTTCACCTCCGCCGTACAGATCACTTCCATTTAATACTTTTCGAATGAGTTGGAGTTTTGTTCCAGATTCATTCTCCGAATTGTGAATGTATTCGAAAAGAGTATTCAATACAGGAACAGAATAATTTTGATATTAATAATAAATAATATTAATAATAAATGATTAAAATCTACCTCCTTGGTGTTTACTGATACAACAAACTTTATAAAGCGTCGGACCACTACTAAATTAAATTGAAAAACAAAACAAAAAAATATCTAATGCATTTAAAAAAATACTTTTAGAATTTATCAGAAGAAACGTTTTAATGATATTTTTTATTGTCAGTAGTTGTAAAAATTTAATTTGTTCTGACTTAGTTAAGCAGCAGCAGTGCGGAAAAAATGTGACAATACAAATCCAATTAATAAATTCAACAATTTATTTTTTACACAACTTATATTTCAGAATGTATTAAAATTATTCTTAAAGTAGAGTATAAATATTACAGAATATAAATTCACCTGAAATGCTGCTCATCCTGATGGTAAAGATGAATTGCAAATACCAACTTTCTTCATCAAATTGGATCACATCGTTATCACCTTTCTTCAACATGAACATCCTTTAAAATAACAATTACACGACAAAATATCGGAAAATCTTCCAAATGTTTCATGTAAGTTTGAAAAAAAACAGAAATGTAATTATTCATCGTTGTTGTTAAGTTTTTAACTCATCACTTCTTTAGATGAATGATTTTAGTCGTTTAGTTTTCCAGAAAAGATACAAATTGTGTTAATTTATACAATTGTTCTTCAGTAAGGGTCTCTTGAGCTGGTGTACTTTGTTCTCGGTCGAGTTTACGAGGTTGAATCATAGTTCCGTCTACGGTCCAGCCCCTTTCAAGGGCTAAGTTTTGAGTTTGTTCTCCTGAAAGACCAGTCATACCAGCCAAGATCTCGACGTCCAAAGATGAATATGCTTCCGATACGAGTACCATGGCACGTTCACGGACATTTTCTAAAATGTAATCCAATTAATTATAATAGTCTGTATTTTTTCACAATTTTTAATAAAATTAAGAATATTAGAAATTAGGGAATTTAAAAAAATTATGATTAACAAATAAAAAATTTACCCATCAATTTACTCAAAAAAAATGTTTTGTTACATTTATTTACGAATTTCCAGATTTTCAAAGATTTTAATATGAAACTTTTTCAAAATTAAATTATTTCGAAAAATTCACGCTCAATAATGCTTTCTATATTCAATTATTGTCTACAACTTAAACTAAAATTCATTTTTAAATCAATTTTTATTAGAAAATTCTACGAGAATTCTATTATTTAAATACAAATAAAATGCAAATAAATAATTTATTGAATAATTAAATGTTTCTTAAAATTGAATTCTAATAAAAAATGTTATCGATAAATTTTTTAAATAATTGACTTCTTTTGGCGAATTTCAATAGAATTTTTAAGAATAATTACATTTTTCAAGCAATTCGATTAAAATTCGATTTACATGAATTTTTAAAATTCTCAAATTTTAAAGAACATTTTAACGTGTCTAATGAATTTCTATTACCCTTGAGAGCATTCATGACTTCATCTACATCTTCGCTCCAATTTACGTTAAGAGCAGCATGAACAGCAGGCCAATCTCTTTTCCACATATGCTGACCAACAGTCCAAACATGACATAATTCCGCACTACTGCTTTTCACACTATCCGGAATTCTCTTCCACAAGTATTTGGCGTAACACCTGCAATAAAAAAAAAAATGTTTAATTTTAAAATTCAAAGCATACATTGTTTTGTGTTTTAATTAATTAATTGCTATTATTTAATAACGTAGTTGTTAAATTATGAATATCGCTCAATTAAATTCAGTCACAGTTTTTTAGAGTTCATTATTTTTAGAAGCTAAAATTTTTATTAAAAATACTTATTAAAAATTCACAAATAAAAATTTACAAAATAAATAAAATAGGTGAAAATTAATGTAATTGCGTTAAATTTCCAAAAAAAGTTCTAGATTGTAAATAATTAAATGTATTTTATGGAATTCAATTGAAAATTAATTGTGTTTAGTTTTATCAAATACTTACAATTCATTTTGATAAAGATATATAGCAAGTAATCGAGTATAAACTTGTGAACTAACAACTCCATCTTCTGCCTATAAAATATATAAATAATTATTAATCTAATATGTTTGTAATAAAATATTAATTTACTATTAATATTTTCTGAAATTAATAAATACTAATAAAAACCTAGTTTACTTTTTTTAAGTAATTTAATTCTTTTTTGATAAAAAATATAACCTATAAACTTAAAATAAAGCAACTCTACTCACCTCCAACTCGGCTCTTTCGAGTTCTCTAAGAACGCCGTTTATCTTACTTAAAACCATAATGCAGAATTAATTATTTCAATACTATTCCTAAGCTAAATAATCGTTGACAATTCGAAAATAACGAAAAATAAAGAATTGTCAGATTATTTTGTTATTGGATACACAAAAACCTCGAGATGTTTTCCTCGAAAAACAAATGATTTAAATTAAAGGTGACTTCTCATGGAGAGATGAATGCAGTAGAAACCAGGGACGTGTAGCACAGGTTGCACGGATTATAAATAAAATGAAAGGAGCATAAGGGTGCGTCCGAGCATAAGAAACATTTGGGTAATTCCACGTGAAATTGTTCTATGACATTTTAAAATCGGTTAAACATATTTTTAACTCGTTTTTTATACAGAAAAATATTAAATACGTATTCTTTTATTTTTGTACAATTGCCCAAATTTTCGAATTATGAATTTTCGGAATTTTAAAAGTAAACCACTATTTTCAGTAGCTTATAAGTTTGAAAGTATTGAGTTTAGAAAAAAGTTCTGAAAGAAAGTAAATTTTGGTTTTTCTTTAACTTTTAAGTAATGCAAAAAACTTTTTTTTTAATTTTTAATTTTAACAAAATTATTTTTTTATAAACAAATTAATTTTTTTCTAATTTGGGTATAATTAATTTTAATTTTTCTTTTAGTTATTTATATCTGATAAAAGAGAAAATTTTTCTTAAAGTTCCGAAATAGGAAAAATTTTTTTTAAATTCGCAAGTTGCTTATAGATTACGCTACGCTTTACAATGTGGTTTTTTTATATTGACTGCTCGAAACTGTCTATATTCTATAATTTTGAAGTCCACGAGCAACTTGCAAGCAAATTTTGAAAAAAAAATTGTATAAAAATCTACGGTACTCTCTCATGAGTCTCATCTCTACTGCCTGCCTGCGCAGGCAGGCGCAATGAGAGTAAGGGAGAAAAAACATTTAATTTAAATTTTCTGACTCTCTTACTCTTATGTGTTACCATGACGACCTGCAGGCAGGCAGGCAGTAGAGCAGTGCGAGCGCCTTTAGCCTTAAAAAATCGAAAAGGTTGGCAATCATGTTCCCCAATTCCCATGGCAACTGAAAATATTTGAAAATGGATCTTGAACCAGTATTTACATTTGTGCCTCTATCAAATAAAACTTATAATGGAATACACGACAAGAATATACAACAATTACTTATGAAGTGGTAAATAAAGAGGGTAGAAAATTTATTAAAAAATTATTTTTCAAGACTATTTTTTACATTCCAGGGGCATGAAAGATAACATTAACATTCAAAACTTCGCATTCAATGAATCATTTCATTCATACCACAAATATCATTTAGTGGAGGTAATTCTACTTAAATATCTCCTTTATATTTTTCTTTAAAAAAAAATTCTCTATGATAACAAAAAATAACCAAATAGGGGGAATCCCTTTATTATTATATACTACTATTATATATTTATTATATACTATTATGTTTTGTTTAATTGCGAGCAAATAAATGAATTATAAAAAAGTATTTTATTTTTCATTTACTAACAAATAACATATGTGACGCGATCTGAAGAAAGGGACCTTAGAAGCAAAAAATTATAGGTTATGTTTGCAATTTTTTAAATGAAAATACAAAAAAAGGATCAACTGTCAATATAAATCATTGAAGTTTAAGTCTTCATTAAAACTAAAATATTTAATAAACACTGATTTTAATTCGAAATAAGTAAAAAGAAACTTTCAAACAAGAAAAAAGTAACTCTAACCCAACCTCAAAATGATTTGCTTCTAAGGTCCCTTTCTTCAGATCGCGTCACATATATTTATAATTTTACAGGCCTTTTTTAAAGATGAAGCTGTAGCGAAAGCATTGAAACTTAAAAATGGCAACAAGTGGATTCCTGAAGGTATAATTATAAATTATTTTTTGTGCGAACATTGTTTTATTTTAATAAATCAAAAATATAATATCGAAAAATTTAAACAATTTGTCAATACAGAAATAACTGCTTCTTCTGTTGAAGTTAAACAACTTCAATGTTCAGTTTTAAGTATGGCATTTTTTGACAAATTAAGAAATTCTGACAATAATATTGTTCATAAATCTGGTGCCATTCGTAAAAGATGTGATGAAGAAATTGAAGATTTTTTAGTAGCTGATAATCTTCGAGTGGTATGTATTAAATGCTTCATTATAAATTATTAATTTTAATAAATATTTATTTATATAGGGTCCCATACACTTTATTAATTGTTTATAGACAAATATTTCAAAAAATTATTTTTGAATAATTTTTCTAATTAAATATTTTTAAATTTCTTTATTTTAATCATTTGAAAATATTATACATACTTTAATAACTTTAAAAAAAAACATGTACAGTTACAGTCATTTTTTTCGTATAGAATCCCGTTATACATGGAAATTAATAAACATAATAATTTTTTTGAAAGATGTTATTAAATGAATCAAGTGACGAATACGGCTTGTATACACAAAATGAACGAGAGGAATTCATTTTTGTCATATTTCAAATGCTAGTCTTGGGTGGAATTTTATGTCAATATGAAGACAACATTCAACACTATTTGGACACAACAAAAACAATTTATAAGGACCTAATTAGGTATAGAAAAAATAATATTACAATAATAATTTTGTTTATTTAATTCAAAATAATTGTAAATATTTAAATATATTTATTATCAAAATATATTTCAAATCATATTTGTCAATAAAGTTTAAAATTTAAATATAAAAAAAATATTTTCTACTTTAAGTTAGTAAAAATAATTTAGATCCCACATAAAGTTTTTATAAATCTAAAATTTTATCTTCAAATTGAAAAATGGTAAATTTTTTTATTTGACTGAAACTTAATATATAGACATTTTTTGGGGTTCTTTGATTTTTTGTATTATATAACAGCGAACTTGGAAGGAATTAAAATTTTTAATAATTTACGGTTTTGTTTCAGTGTTGAAATCCAAGAAGAAACACACGAATTGCATGTAACTACAATGGTGATGAAAGTAGAAGTGAAAAATTCCCGAGGTGAATCATATTTCCCACGAAATCCTTCTCACAAGCAAAATCTTGGTTTCTTATTAATAGAACCTTCATCGAGACAAATTACAACTGTACTTCATCAATTTAGTTGTTGAATTTTGAAAAGCTCACCTTCCATCTTTTCGATGATAGAATAAATAAAATTTGACACACATAATTATTCTATGACAGGCATTTTTATAAGCTTTATTGAGTGAGGTAGTATGTTTCAACTATAGAAGATGAAAGAGTATAAGTTTACAATATTTACATATAAAAATACCATCGCAATAATAATTCTACAGGTATAAAGATTGTTTATCGTAATTACAATAATTGGCAACTAAAGTTTCTGGTTATGACATACAAGGAGAAAAATATAATGTAACTTTTACTACTTTTATAGTAAAATATTTCTGGTAACATTTACTATACTTTCGGAGTAAATTTTCCTGCGTTCGAAGTAAATTTTACTAATTTTTACAAATATGTTCTTTCAACGAAGTAAAAATTTGTAAAATTTACTTCGAACGTAGCCAAATTTACTCCGAAAGCAGTAAAAGAGAAATTTAATGTTTTACTATAAAAGTAGGAAAAGTTACTTTATATTTTTCTCTGTGTACTGACTAAGTGTTATTAATCTAAATATTCATAATATATAAAAAACATTTGGCCTTTGGTAATATTTTCAATAATTTTAAATATTAAAACATTCTTGACTTTCTATTTTTAATTTCTTGGATCAATCAATGATATTATGCATAAAGTATCAATTTTTCTATAAGTTTTATTTAAATTTAGCATTGATTCCGAGAGTCAAAAAAGAATTCTTTTTTTTAAACCAGATGAAAATGAACCATTTTTTTAAAGTTAGGTACTATATCTTGACCGGTACTATATTATGACCAATAAAATATTAAAACAACGAAAAAATAAAAAATATGTATATATCTTCAAATTTTACGTGTTTATTTAGAAGAATTTTGCTTTTACTTTCAATAATTAAAAAATTCTTTTCTTCAAATATATATAGTAATATTTTTACATTACATTTTAAGGATAAAATCTATATTGTAACAATATTTTCAAATTGGATCGCAGAATTTCTCAAACGGATCACCTAAGAAAAATTTTTTTACTACCGAAAAAAACCGAAACTGATTCTTTTACTCCTCAAATGGTAACAAAAAGGGTCTAAAAATTCTAAAACAAAAAAGAAAATTTTTTGTGGATGTTATTAGCAATTTACTTTTTTTGTAGTTTTAAATAAAAAAATATTTCTCTCGAGATTCAGTTGACCGATTGAAAAATAAAAAAAAGAGTTTCCTTCGTCATGAAACAAAGTTTTGTTTTTTTTTAAATTCGTTTTTAATAGTTATTTTTTTTAAATTTTTGAATAAAATTATTTAAAACTTAGAGAATTTTTAAAAAACAATAATGTAATTAGTAATTTTTTCAAATAAAAATTGAAATATTTTTATACTTTTGCATCCCTTTAATTATCAAAGAATTCAATTTAAAAATTCTTGAAATTCATGTTCAAACAATTTTAATTACTATTTTTCAAGAACCTAATTTTTTTCAGAATTTTCAAATTAAATCTTTGAAATTTCAATCTTTTTTGTAAAATAAATATTTAAATACTTATTGTTCTTTTATTGCTTTAAATTTCAATATACTTTCAATGTGAAAGTAACTTTGAATAATATAATTCAAAAATTTTTAATTTTTAAGGAAATTAACAAATTAATCATTTTTTATATTTAAATATCGATATACTTTTACAACAATTAGAATTTCAAAGATTTCAATTCAAAAACTGTTTGAAATTTAAACATTTCCTAAGAATCCTACTTTAACAGATTATCTCGATTATTATTATATAATTTTAACCAAAATGTTATATAAATAAACTAATAAAATTTTTTTCAGGTGATCCGTTTGAGAAATTCTGTGCCAATTATTAAAAAAAAAAGTTTAATTTGAAGTGAATTATTTTTTTGTTACTTTAATATTGATATGACGTTTAATACTTTACACAATTTTAAGTAGTTGTGCGAATTTTATATTAAATCGTACGATTTAATTCTTGACATTTAGTTATTTCTATATGATTTATCTTCTAAATTAATGGTAAATTATTACAATTTGTTAATTTACATATAATTTTTCTATTTCGTTTATGATTTTATCTGTTTATGAATGATCATTGGGTAAGAATTTTTATTTCTGACATATTTTAACTATTCACAATTTTTTTTTTTAGGTAATATGGTGTAAATTTCGAATAAATTTAGTTAAAAATTACGAATAAAATTTTTTTTCAAATTTAAAACAATGCAATTAGAATTTTTTTTCCAATTAGATTTAAAATGGAAATAAACTTAAATTAAGTTTTGAGCAATAAGAAAAATTTCGTCACATTATGAATATTTTAGGAAAGAAAAATTTTATGGAAATTCTTACAATTTTAATTTAAGAATTGTGTATAAAATATAAATAATAGATTTTTGCTACGTTGAAAATGAGTTTTTTTTTTAATTAAAAAATAATAAGTACATAATTATTGTCATCAGTTTTTTTAAAAGCTACAGAAAATTACTAGTTGTAATAATTGTTCTCAAATTATATTAAATAATGATTGGGTAGAATGTTTTAAAATCGAGTGTTTCAAAAAGGAAATTTTATTTTTTTTTCTTTTCTTAATTTTTATCTTCTTGTTTTTTTTGTTTCATTAACAAAACTGAATTGAAAAATGAGAAAAACTGTAAAACGAAATGTTAGCAAAACTTTCAACTTTCATTACTTCATTTTCAATTACGATTATATACAAAAAAAAGTAATAATAATACGAACTGACTGTATATTTTTACACTTTTTTGTATACTATTGTATACAATTTTACTATTGGTAATTGGTATTCTATTCTATATTGTATTTATGAAATATATTCAAACTTTGTATATGAGTAAAAATTTCTGAAACGTGCTTTAAAATTTTAATTTTTTCCTAAATTTTAATTTTCCTGTAGAATTTTATATAAAAAATCACTATGTAAAAGGATTAAAAATTTTCAATTGTTAATAAGAAGAGTAAAAATAATTTTTTTGCAAAATCCTTTTACATAGTGATTTTTCATGTAAAATTCTACAGAAAAATTAACATTTAGGGAGAAATAAAAATTTTCAAGTTTTAGGTGGCACGTATCAGAAATTCTTACTCATGTAATTCATTCATATACTATGAATGAAAGTTAGAGATCGTTTCTGTTTTATGATATATTATTATTGATATTATGCATTAATTGTTGTTAAATTTTCTGCGGAGTAAAAAGTGTTTTTTTTTTAAATTTCTGCACAAAATCAGTCATAAATAAACAACTAATTATCGAGATAAATTCAATACTTTCTGATATCACATTTGTGCACAGTAACATTTTAATAATGCCACTGTTACTAGTTGTAAGCCTTCGAGTTAGTCTTTGCAATAACAGTATTTACGCATATCGAACAAATGATTCTCGACGCATCTTGCTTGCGATCCGTACATATTTATTCGACTGACGTCTGTTATCTATAAGTAAAAATCATAAAATTTATTTAAATATATTGAAAAAGAGGAAAAATTTACAAATATTTCAGGCTTTGCACTCATTTACTAAAAATTATTTTCAAATATGAATTTTCGAATAATTTCAGATTCAAACTTTAAAAAAATTCAATTACTAACTAATTTACTAATTAATTATTCTTGTTTTATTAATTTCAAAAATTTTAATAAACATTATTTCATAAGAATTCAATTATTTTTATGAATATTAAATATTTTTGCAAAATTTCAATTATTTGTAAACGAAATTTGAATAAAATTTCACGAACGAATACAATTATTTTCTAAAATTTTAATAAATCCTTCGAAACAATTCAATTTTTTTTTTAAATAGTAAAATCTTTGCACAAATTCAATTATTTTCAAAAAAAATTTCACGAAAGAATTCAATTTTTTTTCTTAATTCGTTATAAAATCTTTGCAAAAATTCAATTCAATATTTCGAGAAAATTTAATTATTTTCTAAAATTTTAATAAAATTCAATAATTAAATGTTCAATTCCAATTATTAACCAACATGATTATTTTAAAAACTTGAAAGAAATTGTTCATAAAATACAATTATTTTCAAAATTTTTAATTAAAATTATTAAAAAAAACTCCATTATTTATAAAAAAAAAATTCAAAGAAATTCTCCAAAAAGAATATAATTAGAATTTTCAAAAATTGTAAGAAAATTCTTAGCAAAATTAGTTTCAATAAAATTTTTCCAAATAATACAATTATTCTTAAATTTTTCTTTAAAAATGTCAATTCTTTGCTAGAATTCAATTATTTTCAATACAATTTTAATAAACTATTTGAATTCAATTGTTCTTAAAAATATTAATTAATAATTTTTTTTTTTGCAGAATTTCAATTATTTTGAATTTTCCGCATGAATTCAATTAATATTTTCAACAGAATTTTTCGAAAGAATTCAATTGTTCTTAAAATTTTTAATAAATTTCTTGTGTCAGAATATCAATTAATTATTTTTTTAATAAAATTTTATGAAGCTTTCAATTATTGTTTTGCTGAATGTTTTATCGGCATAAAGGATCAGTTGAAGAAAGATTATTCTTGTTTTAATAAATTTTGTCTTAAAATTTTTTATTTTCTTCTCAGAATTTCAATTATTTTTAAATTCAGAAAATATGAATTTTTAATAAATTTAATTAGAAATTTTTAAGAACTTAGTTTTTTGAAAAATTTCGATAATTCAAATTGTTTTGAAATTTATCGAATGTTTTAAAATACATTTAATTAATTATTAAAAATAATGTATTTATAGAAGAATTTTAGTTAAAAATCTCAACAAAAGAAAAAATTGAATTGTAGAGTAGTTACAAATAATAGCAATTTTTAGAAATAATTGAATTTTGAAAAGTTTTCAAACTCAAATCATTGAAAATATGAATTTTTCATTCTTTTGATTAACAATTCTGCAAAAATTAATTTTTTTCAATAATTTTAATTCCAATGCTGTTGAAATTATTTGAAGCTTTTATTTTCTAATACATAATTATTTAATTGAAGAATTTCTAAATAAATGAAATTTTGTAAAATTGATGTACACAATTGTGGATTTTATTCATTTTCGCTAAGTACGTTTTTTAATAATAATCAACGAGTGTGAAGCCTGATTTTCAAACATAAATAACTTTTTAAAAAATTTATTATAAAAAAATGTAAAATTTTCAAAGAATTTAGGTTCAACTGATGAATTTGATATAAATAAAATTAATAAGAAAATTTTAAATATACTTTTATAAAGATTTCAAAAAACTAGAAGATTTAAAATAATAAAATGTTTGTACTGACCTTCATGGAAAATAAATTGTTATTCAAATTGTGGGTAACACTTCCTTCATAAAGTCCGCCTCCAGGATCTGTTTTTATTTTTATTTGGTACATTTCTGTTTTCACTTTGGTTTTCGATGAAAAGTCACCGACAAATCCGTCAAGATCATCTGACTTTTGAAAGTTTAAAAGGCCTGCAGCAATGTTGAAAATCTTATTGTTTGAAAACACGAAAATATTTCAATTTTGTCCAATTATGAAAAATTGGAAAAAAAAAATGAAAATAGAATAAAAATTTGTTGAAAATAGTGAAAAAATGGGACACATTAAAATAGATAAATAGAATAAGAATTTATGGAAAATAATGAAAAATTGTTTACATACCTTTTGTTGGTGTTAACTTAGCAGCCCATAAAATATCTGCTAATTTTAGTTTCTCACATATGTTACGGTATTCTTTGGTGTGGGAATTTAAAAATTTAAGAAAATAATTTGCAGCCTCCATCACTGTTGGATCATCAATTGAGGTTTCTTGCCAATTAAGACAAGCACACCAATGAGGTTCTATAAAAGCATCGGCACATGTTCGCTCTAGAGGAATCTAAACGTTAAAGATTTAGAATTAGTATATTTTTTTTGTTTAAATTTAAAAAATGTCACTATTTTAAATTTATCAATTTGGCGTCGACGCTAAGTTTTGTCATCTTTTTAAAAATTAGTCACTAACCTTAAATACTCTAATAGTTGAAATTGAAATTCGACAAATTTTAATAAAATTCTTCTAAACAAATTAATTTTCAACAAATTTTCAAAATTCAATTATTGAAAAATTTAAAAAATTTCCCAAAAGAATTCAATTACTTAAAATAACCTTTAATTAAAAAAATTATCACTAAAGCTCTTCATAATCTCGAGATGAATACTAATTTCGAGAGCCTAAGGGGGGATTTATTTACTGTTTTCCACATTTTTAAAAATAAGTTTACTTTGAAATTCGCATATGAAATTTTTTACTAATACCCATATCGATTTTTAAAAAAAAAATTTAATTTAAAAATTTTTTTTTAAAATCCACTGGATATTTTTATATGAAATGCGGTCAAGTTATTTTCACCCAAGTAGTGTGTATAGACAAATCACTAATAATATACGTGTAAAGTGGTTAAACTCCTATAAAATTAGTGTCGATTCGGTTTTAGTATCACTCCAAGTAAATTTATTTCAGAATTGCGTGACCTCAGACTCTAACAATATTTTATATATTACTTGGACACTTTTTATTTACCTATTTAAGTACATACTTTGTGTACCAAAGGCTCATATTAAAATCGATCGACATTTAAAAATGATTACACCGATATTTACACAAAAAGCATATTTATAAGATTTAAAGATTGAAAAAAATAACACGTAATATTGTTGAAAGTTACGAAAAAATGTAATTTTTTCTAATAACCTTAACATCGACATCTTCAATAATCTCAAGTTCAAGAAATTTTTCATTTTTTTTTTTTTCATTTTTTAAGTTTTTCATGATTAATGTTTTACGAAAAATATTTTGATTACCTTATCGAAGAGACTGATGGCGCGATCCCCTTTGTCACCTTCCTTAGGACTGTCGAAATCTAATATTTTCTCAAGAGTCTTATGAATATCGAAAGGCGTTGTTAAATGTTTTGTATTGTACACAAAATTAGCATAGGCCCGCGAATGAACTTGTTTGAACCATGGAGGAAATGTGAAAGAGAAAAATGGAAGTCTCTCTTCCTGTTTGCCTTGTACAGTATTTCTAATTTCTGCGAATCTAAAAAATTACGCAACAAATTACGCATTTGACATTTATAATTATATATTGAAATATATAAATAAAATATGTGTTCACATCATTACCTGTGTCCGTGATCGCTCATGAATATTAAAATTGTATTATTCAAATGTCCATTATTGTTCAAATTTTTAAGCCACTGATAAACGTCTTCGTCAGCAGCACCAATATCATTATAGGAATCATGCGAGAGTTCTCCGTGAAAGCCGAATGCAAATTTTGGTTGGTCCCGATATTCGTCAAACATTGCTTGCATGTAATTCATCATCAACTTGAATAATTATAAAAAACTTTATAATTTAAATGTTTTTAAATTTAAATTCTTTGAGATTTAAATGTTTTTTTACTTATATCAACAATTAATAATAACTCTGCACTTCCTACCATGTGACGTGGAATTCCGTTGAAACAAAACCGTTTCGAATATTTAAAAAGTGAAGAAGCGGACAAATAAAATGTTCTCATATAATGATCCGTTGGTTGTTGTTGGAAACCTTTGAGTCGATATGTAAATGTACCAATATGATGAACGTCTTCCATGAAACCAGTGATGTAACCGCTTTCTTTGTACTTTTTCCAAATGAGTGGATAAACGTCGACAAAATCCGCTTTTGATCCCATTCGTTTTCTTGTGTCTGGCAATTCGAGTTCGATTTTTCCGGTAAGAATTGGAATTAGAGCTTGAGGTGTTCCGTCACCGACAATATTGTAACCCTCCAGTATGAGAGAATTTAAATTTGTCTTCAAGTAATGATACGATTTTGGTAATTTTCTAATAAATGTGTTTCTTGACAGGGAATCGAATCCAAACATAAGTACATTTAATTTAAGACCCTTATCAGGAACTTTATTCCATGTATGATCAGCTTTCATTGAAGGATTCTGTTTTATTCCCGCTAATACACTATGCCATCTGTTAAATAGTTTTTAACAAATAATTTCAATTTCAAAACACCTTCTATTAATTTAAGAAATTCATTAAAAGTATAATAAATGAATCTATTACGGGTAAATCTTAAAAATAAAACAACTCACTGTCTCCCACTCTGCGATTCACATTTGACGTCCGCAAAATCACTTTCTTTTAAAATATAAACATCGTTTGATTCAACTGAATCCGTAAAACTAGTTTCGAAATCGTCCTCCCTGATGATTTCTGTAAAATCATCAAACATCGAAAATGTTTATTAATAAACATTGGTAGGTTTTCAAAAAAAAATTTCTGAACTAAACTTGACATCATACTAAAAAATTAGAATAAAAAATAATGTAAAAAAAGTACCCCGCGCTTTTTGTACAGAAAATGGTTTTCGGTCAAATCTTCTGAAAAGCTACAGTAGCTCAAAGTTACCACATAATAATAAATTAAGAAAGTTTTTGTGGATGTTCCGTTCTTAAAAAATCACCCGAATGAAACAAAAATTTTATGAAAGTTCCTCCATTGCTAAATAGACTTGATACACATCCCGAGTCAAAATTTAGACCCTCTTTTGAACCTGAAAACAATGCGGAAAAATCCACATTCCGATGTTTAGAGGTTGAAAAGAAGGTTCATAGATTAAAATTTACCTTTAAAAGCACAAGTTATTTCTCCATAACGAGTTTTGGCTTTACTTGAAATTTGCAATTTCGACCCTTCAACAGTGACCCAATCGTCCATCTTGCAATCCAACGGTTTGACATCTTTGATGAACTTCATTATTTCTGGATTCAAAATATCAAGCTCAGGAAATGTACATGCCGGCGCTCCATTTCTGTGAGAATATATTAATTGTTTTCTTTGTTGTATTATCAACGAGGGTAGAAATATGGACAGTAGAATTCATTTATAATGATATTGAGGGAACAAAACAGTCTTAATCGTACAAAGAAGAGCATAAACAATATGGTCGGGGGTAGTACATCAATATAATGTTAATATACCACTTTGTGAAATACAATCAATACGTTGAAATTGATAAAAAAGTTTGCTACCTTTGTTATCAAAAATGTTTGTTACTATATAAACAATTGATTTAAGCGGAATTAATGTAAACGAATTCTACCGTTTTTATATGAGGTATTATTTTTCAAATCGTTCCACCAACCAAAGACCAAAAAAATTTCATTCACCTTTCAAGTTTAATTTTTAATTAATTTCTCTACGAAATTAAGAGAAATTTTGAAAAATAAAAAAATAAATAGAAAGTTAATTTGATTTTCTGTCGAATTAGCATATAACTTCGTTTAAATATAGAATAAAAATTCACTTATAAAAAGTACAATAATTCTTGCGATAGTTTTTTGTAAGTGCAATATGGTTTGAAATAGAATGCCTCATCATATTTAAATGTAATAAAAGGCTTATTTTATCAACTTACCCTGTATATAATACTTGCTGTTTGGCATCATTGATCATTTGTGAAATTCGCATACTGAAAAAATTAATTTTGTAAAAAGTTTAACAAAATGCAGGATCTATGACGTTTTTTACACATTATTTATTTCCATAAACATTAAAAATGTAGATAAAGATTAAAATTTTATGATTTGTAATCAGCAACCCCAAAGAACCCCCGCAAGTAACGAGAATTTGAACTGAATCAGACGAAAATAAAAATTTCTCATCCGCCATTATTGAATTTAGAAAATCTAACTCAAGATTCATAATCAGCGGCTCCGAAAAACCCGTGGTTAACGAATTTGAACTTAATCAGACAAATTTTGTAATCAGCCATATTGGATCCACCATTTTGAATTTTGAAAATCTAACTTCAAATTCGTAATCAGAGACCCCAAAAACTCCCAAAGTCAGAAAATTTGTATGAATCCGACGACTTTTTGACGATTAGTAAAATATGTGCGCATGAACTTGAAAATTTTGCAATGAATTTGACGACACATTAGGTCCGCCATCTTGAAATTTTTAATTCTGCCTTAAATATCTTTAAAGTGGAAAACTTTCATGCACTTTTGGCTGAAAACAAAATTATATATAGTAATTATATTTAAAACGATTTTTCATTCTTAATATTTAGTGCAAAAGAAAATGTAGTCTTATCTTATCTGTCTGATATCGTCCAATATCGAATATTTTGCAATAAAATTATATTCGTTACTTTGATAATATACAATTTAAAAATTCCCATAAAAAATGTATATCAGATCAAGGTTTGACTCATTAGGAGTTCATTAAACTGTTTAAAGTTTTTTTTTTTTAATCTCTAAAGCAGAATTGAGTATATTTCCAAGGTCACGAAGTTCGATTACTTTCTTGAAATAAACTCTGATCTAATATTGAAGCAGTTCTATATATATGTGACATTACTTTGTTTTGCAGAAGAACAAATTTTTACATTTCTATAAAATAATTTTTACATATTTTACTTGAATATTTCATTCTGAAGTTAAAATTGAGGGTCCCTATCAAAGAACCGCGGTTATAAGTTTTTGAGACTCAAAATTCTCCACCTCTAAATAAAAAAAGGATTTAAAATTTAAATTTCTTGAAAACATTTCGCATTTGTATAAAGATTACGAAAATGTTTCTCAAAAAATTTGGATTAAAAACAATTTAATTTTTGACTTACAGGGCAATGATTTTGAGCTTAAAAAACTTATAACCGGTTTTTTGATAGGGACCATCAATATTGTATTTTATTTTAAAAACCACTTTTTATGATATGTAGCTAAAACGTTTAATAAGTTATAAATATGTTTTTCATCAGCAACCACTTAAAAATTAAGTCCGACTACATACCTGCAGTTATACCCTATACATGGAAGTTAAATCAATAATTAATTTTAATTGTTTGTTACAATTTATACTTAGCAAAAATTACTTACAGTTTTTCCAACTGAGGCGAATCGGCGTCATTAAATTTCAATTCCGATTTGAAGACTTGGGCGATGCAGTAGATAAAAACAGCAATAAATGCTGCAATTATGAGCCTTCTGAGATAACATGATATGATCTTCATAATTGTCTTTTCTACAAATATAAAAAATTTTAAATAGTAAATTTTCTTTTTCATTCGCATTTCGTCTTATTCGAAGGTCTTTGACAATGTGTGAAAAAACTAAAAAAACTTTTTTTAACTTCATCTTTTAATATCAATTATACATATATAAATTGTATGCAGAAATATTATATACATTAGGCAGATTTTTTTAAAAATCATGGAGCAACATGGTTCAGATAACTTTCAAAGAACACAAATGTATTCTTTTTTTTACCAAGAAAAAAAATTTTTTTTATGGCTTTGCTGTATATAGTTTTTTTATAGCTCATCTTTTATTTTTGAATATTTACTACTCTTTAATAGCTTGTAACAATGTCAAACTGTGGTCGCCTTTCAGAAATGGCTGTCAGTACGTATAGAAAATTTTTAAAGTAAAATATTATTGCAATTCGGACAAGTTATCGAATAATTCAAAATTTTATAAATCTAAAAGTAGTTAGATACTTAAAAATAAACTTCTTAGAAAGCAAAATAAAAAGTAAAATAATAAAATATATGATTTTTAATTGAAAAATATTATTAAATTATATTTTTATAATTAAGGACTAAACACACTTTTTGAAGTTATACGATTCCTCATCAACTAAACAAATCACTTATTTACACTTTATTATTTACCAACACTATATAGTAATCACAGTAAAAATATGAATCTTAGTATTTTTATCTTTTTTCAATGTATTTTTGTTCATAATGCGCATCAAAAAAATTATATTCATTTTGATAAAATTCAAATCGACCGCCAATTTCACGGAAGTAGACCCTAGCGGGAAATTTTTAATTACTTACTACATTTTATATACAATTTAAATTATAAATCTTCTGGTATTATTACAATATTATTATAGTCATCGTTATTAAAAAATTAAGCTAAAATAGAAATATTAATAAAATTTTGAAAGCAAGTTAAGTAGTTGTCAGTCTAATGTTTTATTAATATTATATATTATTATATATATATTCAAATAAAATGTTTAATTGTTTAAAAGAACTGGAAATTAAATTTCTTATTTTTCCACCAAAACGAAATCAAAATAAAATACATTTTTTTTCATATAGGTATAAAATACGAAATAATAAAATTGGACTTATTTTTGTTTCGGTTGTCAAATTTTTTCTTGAAAAAGTAAAAACTTGTATATTTTCAAAAATTTTTTATTAAAATAAAAAAGAATTGTTAAATAAAATTAAAAATTTTTAAATATAAAAATTATCAATAACATTCTTCTCTCAAAATATGTATAGCAGGCTAAATTACTTAATTCTTATCTGATGAAAAAGAAAACAGATAAAATATATTTTGTGTTAATTTAGGTATTTTACATTATAAAGACATTAAAAAAATAATTAAAAATTGATTTTTACAATTTTGGAAGAATTTTTTTGAAAAAATCATTGTTTTTAGGTTGAAAATACTAAAAAATTACTATAAAAATAATGTTATGGAAGATTTAAATGATTTTCTTGATATAATTTTAAAATGTAATCGAAGTATCCCCTTAAAATATTACTTTTACAAATTAAAGAAAAGAAGATACTTATTAATAAAGAAAAAATTTTAAAAAATATTTTTGTGAAAATAGCTTTATTTTTAACATTTATTTAACTGTATTTTTACTACCTTTTATTAACTCCTTATCACATTTATCATCCTTGGCACTTTATGAACTATTTATAAATATTTACAAAAATGCTGAAAAATAAATTGAACAGTATATTGACTGGTTGTTCTGCACTAAACTTGATTGCACTTTATAACACGAAATGATTTTTTTTTATCGCTTATCCGTAGTTACAGTATCACGATTAGTTTGTTGGAAAATTTTATCACAAAATACCACATGGACCACAGTGTCAGATTATAGAATAACCGCGAGACTATATATTCAGAATTATCAGAAAACACAAAAAATTATTTTTCGAATTATAACGTTTAGACGTGTACTTTTTTTTCTTTAAGTAAACGACGATGAGAAAAATGAACAAGATAGAAACATTTATATAAATATTCACAAGTTATTTGAAGCTAAAGTCTAGTCAAAAATAAAGATAAGGTCTTATTTGTTTTTCTCACGTTTTCATAAGAGTGTTCTTGCGTGTGTCGTGTGTCGCTAGCGAGTTGTGGTGTGTTAGTTGGTCGGTAAATAGTTCCGATGAGAACCGAGGGGTTGAGAAAAGCGCTGATATCATATTCACTATAAAGAAATTTTTATTTTTATTGCATGTTTTTTTTTATTACTATTCGTTAGTTAACTTATTGTTGTAATGAATTTTTAAATGATAATTTAAAAATATCTTTATTATTAGCATTTTAAACTTGTAGAAAATTTCGGGAGGGGGGGAAATTAAAATCAATTTCTTGCACGCAATAGTTTTCTGGTTTACTGTCTAGCAAGGGCTGCGCCATGTGAGCGACCGTCACTGTTGTGTGTATAGAAGTATACTCATACATGCGTACAATATACACAATATGTATTCCAGATGGAACGTTTCCTTTCCATGCGGCATGAGTTTATCAACACGCATGTTAATTATGATGAGATACTATAAAGTTTGTAAACTTATTTTATACAAAAAAAGCTCAAAATCACTCGCATTAGGCATAATTTTTGTAATTGTTATATATTATTTTAGGTTATTGATGAACTTTTACAAAAATTGTCACAACCCCCCCTCCACCCAACTCATAGGCCCATAACTGTAATAATATAAATGATCCCTAAGGGAGGTTCTACACTGATTCAAAAAAGGTCAATTCAAGTCTAATATAAAAATTTTTGCAACTATAATTCATAATCAATTTATTAAAAAGATTTAAAAAATTTTGAATAAAAAAGGAGGCCAACAACTACGCGGTATTGCCAAGCGGTCACCCATCCAAGTACTAACCGCGCTCAATGCTGCTTAACTTCGATGATCGAACGAGAACCGCCCAGTAAAAAAAAAAGTATTCAGAATAGAGAAAAAGTATTGGTGGAGACGTTCGGTGAATGCGTTTTCGCGACAAAACCGTATTGGTGGGTTACGGTGAATACATTTTGCTTACCGTGAATACTTTTTTTTTTAAACTTTCGATTTAAAGATTCCTAAGCAAAGTTGAGAATATTTATAAAGAGCGTAAGTGACCTGAAGTATAAAAATGACTATTGCGAGAAGGAAATAAGAAATTTTGAGAAAAAACGAAAAATTAAATGTGACAAACAGATTGTAAAATGTTGATCAATTACCATATGCTTTTCTGTGCCTACAACGTACGATGATTAAAAGGAACTTTGACGTTACCGGCGGAACTTACTGTTTCACATACATTTACTTGGATTTCTCAAGTTTCTGTCGGTATCGTCAATGTTCCTTTTCATCATCATACGTTGTAGGTTTGTCACATTTAATTTTTCATTTTTTCTCAAAATTTCTTATTTCCTTCTCGCAATCGTCATTTTTATACTTCAGGTCACTTACGCTCTTTATAAATATTCTCAACTTTGCTTATGAATCTTTAAAACGAGAGTTTAAAAAAAATGTATTCACGGTAAGCAAAATGTATTCACCGTAACCCACCAATAGGTTGGTTCCAGAATGAGCCAAAACGCAACGAAGACGCGACGCGTCCCAATGCTAATCAAATGGGGACGCGTCGCGTCTGCGTATGCGTCAAGTCCATTCTGGAACCAACTATACGGTTTTGTCGCGAAAACGCATTCACCGAACGTCTTCACCAATACTTTTTCTCTATTCTGAATACTTTTTTTTTTACTGGGCGGTGAACTCAGCGTTATTATTTTATTTTATTTTTTAAATGCTTTTTATTAATAACAGAACGATATATACATATGAGAATTAACGATAAAGCAATTAAGCAAATGAGAACGTCAATAACAATTTTTTTAATTTGTACAATGGTCAAGACGGCAGCATACAAGCTGCACTCGCAGACACAACAATTAATTACACACAACATCACAAAAAAAATACTATTCATTTAGACTTCGTCGAATATCTATTGTAAAACGTCATAATTTTTTTCAAATCTTTGTTACTAAATTATTTATTATTTCTAAATTTCTAAATTAGGTGGTAAAAAATAAAAGACCTCATAACAAAGGAAGTATGATTTTTAATGCCTAGTTGACAATGAACATGGTACATAAAAAAGGTATGAATTTGTTGATTCATACAATTATAGGCCACGTATAACTTTCGATAGCTGTACAAATGTAAAAGTGCATAACATCATAATTTATTTAAGACATTCATGGAAGTACAGTTTCGTATATACAATATTGGATAATTGTGTGCGTTCTGCACAAATTCATTATGGGGCATTCCAGGCCAAATCGGAAATCATTTTGCTTTCGCATCTCAAATTTTTTTTAAATATTTTTTTTTCCTTTAGCACTCTTTGAAATGAGCTACCTTGATTTTTTTCAAATTTTTTCATAAAGCGGTTCAGGAGATACAGATTTTTGAAAAATGACGTTTTTTATGTAAATTTTTTTTTTAAATGCTTATAACTCGGTCAAAAATTGATCAAATTGGACGTTTTTATAATGAAAAGTTTTGTTTTCACGCGTAGTTTTTAATAAAAATATTTTTAAAAAATTTAAAAATAATTTACGATAAGATTTAAAAATTTTTTAAATAAAATTTCATTTTTAACAATGTATGTGTATCGATCAATTTATTTCAAAATTTTTTTTTATTTCAAAATTTTAAAATAAATAGATCCCTTTATTTTCCCACGATCGGACAAGGCTTATTAATTATGTTAATTTAGTGCTAGTTTCTTACAAAAAATTTTGAAAAAAATTGATCGATACATACATTGTTAAAAATGAAATTTTATTTTAAACATTTTAAAACCTTATCGTAAATTATTTAAAAAATTTTTTAAATATTTTTATTAAAATCTATGCGTGAAAACAAAACTTTCCATTATAGAAACGTCTAATTTGATCAATTTTTGACCGAGTTATAAGCATTTAAAAAAAAATTACATAAAAAACGTCATTTTTCAAAAATCTGAATCTCCTGAACCGCTTCATGAAAAATTTTGAAAAAAATCAAGGTAGCTCATTTCGTACGCTACACAAAGTATCATTTATATTTGTGAATTATTTACATATTTTATAAATTATTATATTTATTTATTTTTTTTTTTTTTTTTTTTTTTTTTATATCAAGCACCGTTATTGATTGAGAAATTTCCTTTCCATCTAAGAAGTCGATTAAAATTATTGTTCCTTGTCTGGAAAAATAGTTATTACTTTAATTAAATAAGAAATTGATAAGTAAAAGCATTATAGTACTTGGATAAAGCAAAAAATGGAACCAATAGATGGACAGTAACAAAAAGAACTAAAATTGCTTCCAATGTAAATGGAAAAAATAATATTCATATATCAAAAAAATATATGTTGTACCTGTAATGGAATATCTGTTGTAGATGACACAAATCCATTATTTACTCTGGATTGGTTACTGAGATCAAATTTAGACTTCAACTTCAAAGGTCTATAAGTATTATAAACCACTATTAAAATATCTGGTACTAAGCAAATGACAAGGGCCAAAACAGTTAATAACCAAAACGTTGGCGACATTGTTAATTTATGAAACACCCAATAAATCTTTCCATCATGGTTTCTGAAAATGCAATTTTTTAATTTAAAAATAGAGAATAAAAAACATTTGAGGTATTTTCTTTTGCAAAGTAATTTTGAAAAAGGATATTAAAATTTTATTGCAAATTACTTTATGAATAAAGATTTCTATTAAATTTATTCTTTATATAGTCAATTATTATCTATATAATATTATATCTTATATATATTATCTAAATGTTTGTATAATAAAATATATATATGATAATGTACTAGAAAACAATAAGAAATATTTTCGAAATTTTTGATTTATTGATTCTAATGGAGAGAAATTATATTGTTTAAATGAAGACACATATAATAATTTGAAAATACTTACAAAAATACTGAACAATAAATGAAAGCAGCAATGTAAAATACTGCTTCTGATAATACTATACTGGATACAAAAAGCGTAGACCAATAACAACTGTGTAATAAAATCTAAAAATCAAAAAAGAATATAATGAAGTTTCACCTCAAGGGGATGTCAAAGTCGTTGCGATTTTTACACAGAGCTTCATTCAGTGGAAAAATCGTATCGACACATGTAATAATAATTAAAATTCTTCCCAGAAATTCAATTATTTTCAAAAAGTTCTCGTCAGCATTTCAATTATCTTCATAAATATCAAAATTCTTCGATAAACTTTAATTTTATTCAGGAATTTTAATAAAATTCATTTTAAAATTCAATTATTTTCATAAAAATAACAATATTCATCACAAGAATTCAATTATTTTCAAAATTAATCAAATTCTACGCAGAAATTCAATTACTTTCAAAAAATCTATAAAAAAATTATCGTCAACATTTCAATTATCTTTATGAATAGAAAAAAATTTTCCACAAAATTCAATTATTTTGCAGGAATTTTAATAAAATTCATTGCAAAATTCAATTAATTTCAAAAACTTTCCTTAATTCAATGATTTGCAATATTTCTACTATTTGAATAAAATTTAAAAATTCTTTTCAGGGATTTAATTATTTTTATAAAAAATATAAAACTATTCGGAGGAAGTCAATTATTTTCATAAATAACAATATTCATCAGAAAAATTCAATTATTTTCAAAAGTAATAAAATTCAATTATTTTCAAAAATTTTAATAAAATTCATTGCAACAATTATTTTCAAAAAATTTTCTTAATTTAATAACTTGTACAATATCTAGGTATTATTTTAATAAAATTTCCCAAAAGAATTTAATTATTTAAAAGCAAATTTTGACAGAATTTCAATTACTTTTTAATACAATTTTAATCGAATTCCTCGAAAAATAAAATTTTTCTTAAAAAATATGTTATTAAAATTCGTCGAAAGAATGCAATTTTTTAAAAATTTGTTGATAAAATTATGTATAAGATTTAAATTTTAAGAAATATTCAATTATTCAATAAATTATCTGTTTTTATTTAAATAATTATTGAACTCTCATAGAATTCTCTAATAAAAATTGATTTAAAAATTAATTTCAGTAAAAGTTTTAAATTAAAATCTTTGAAAATTTGAATTTTTCATACATTTAATTAGAAATTCTATGGAAATAATTTTTTTGAAAAAGCTTAATCCAAATTTTTAAAAATTATTTTAAGTTTATTTTCAAATGTATATTTAATTAAAGAATTTCCAATAAATTGAAATTTCGTAAAATTGAGATTGTAAACAAATGGATTTGAAAATTTACAAAGAACTTTTTCGAAAATTATTAAAAATAATGGATTTAATGAAGAATTTTATTTAAAAATTGTAGAAAATATTAATTGAATTGAAATGATGAAAATAATTTTGAAGGAGTTACATGTTACAGTAACATTATTATTATAATATTGAAAATCATTGACTTACAAAAAGTTTTTAAAAACAATTAAATTTTACGAAGAATTGAATTAAAATTTTTGACAATAATTGATAAAATGATATTGGAAAAGCATTGAATTGAAAAAAATTTCTGAAAATAATTGAAAAATTTTAATATAAAAAAAACTTTTGTTGTAATATTGAATTTTACTATAAATAAGTTTTTGAATTTATTAAAGCAAACGTAGCATTTTTTGTAATCACTTCCAATAATAAAATGTACATTACGCGATTTTTTAATACCGCAGCGATTTGACTGGGTGTTGTAAATAATTCTTTTTTATAGTTCTTGCAAAAAAAAGATACTAGAATCAAGGATAAATAGAGGATGACTTTTTAAAAATTTTTCATAATGTAAAAAGTTTGGAAAAAAAGTGAAAATGAGTAATTCTTGTGTCAAAATTATTTTCTACTTGAATTTAGTGTTTTTATTAACAGCAAGTGCTGTTGATGAAAGTGTAAGTATTTTTATTAATTGATAATAATTAATATTAATTAGTAATTGCACAGAAATACAAGATCAGGTCCGGTTTTTTTTTTTTTTTTTTTTTTTTAAATCAATCGGATTTGCTAGAAACTTGTTACTTGGGAATTATTAGGGTTTCTGATTACAAATATAAAATCTGTTTTTAATGTTTAAAAATGACAAAAACAAATATTTTTTAAACATAATTGCAGGCAAACGAAAGGAATGAACTAAACCCAATAAAAGAGAGAATAAATTCTCACTACTATGAATTTGTTAACGAATTATATAGCAACAGATATTTAATTGGCAATTGCTCTCATGAAGATGATGCATTACTTGATATAAACAGTTTAAACGAAGATCTTGAAAATTTTGAATTATTATTTACTGAAACTACACTAAATAATAAAACTCTTATGATATTACATGAAAAAGAAATTATTAGATATTTAAAATTTTTAAAAAATGATCTACATGATATGAATTCATGTAGAAATAAAAACAAAATATTTAAAGAAAATGATTACAAAATAATCAATGAATCGAGAAAATTTTTATTACATAAGAGTGACGAAATCTCAAGATATTATTGGGTATTAAACGTCTTTCGTTGTCCACAGAAGGATAAGGAAATAAATGATTTTCAAAACAGAATAAATTCGGACAGAAAAGTATGTAACTGAATTCAAATAAATTTTATATAGGTATTATTTATTATTATTTTAATAGAGTAATTTAGTTAATAATTTAACTAAATTACTCTAGCATTCAATAAAAGCGTTTAATTTTTACAAATAATTTAAAGAGAAAACTAATATTTTATATCTTTACAGAATAAAAATTTAACGATCCATGAAACGTATTTAAATCTAAGACAAATCTACTACAATACTTTGCTTGACTTTGATAAAAATTTTGAATTCCTAATTCATTGTGCAGCTCGTAAAATTAGAAATAATTGTGAAACATTTCTTAAAAGGAGTAACAAATTACTTTCCAACTATGAAAAGTTTAATATCAAAATTGGAATTCAAGAATATTTGTTAACTGAAAAAACATATTTATCTTTTCAAAAGTATTTTAAATACATTCAAGAGTGTGCAAGCTTGAAAAGAAAATTTCCAAATAAAAGAAACGATATCTTTAATAATTGGATGATTAAAAAAAATAGAAAACATTTTCTAAACATTTAAAACTATGAAAAATTCATACTTCAAATTTTCAAAGACTATAATTTAAAAGCCTTTTCAAAATTCAATTACTTCTAAAAATTCACGTTAAATGCTCTTAATACTCAATTATAATCTAAAATTTTAACTGAAATTCATTTTTATGAAATGAAAATCAATTTTTATTAAAAAATTCTACAAGAATTCAATTATTTAAATATGAATATAATAATAATAATTTATTGAATAATAATTGAATGTTTCTGAAATTTGAATTCTCATAAAGAATTTTAATAAAATTTTGAAGAATGACTCTATTTTTTAAGGCATTCATTTAAAATTTTGCGAAGAATTTTATTATTTTTGAAAATAATATTGAATTCCTGCAAAGAATTGCATTAAATATTTTGAAAATAGTTTACTATTTTTTAAATGAAATTAAATTCTGAATTTTCAAAAGGCGTCAGCTTGTTTTTTAGAGATATATGTAGTGATATTAATTATATTGATATTAATGTCGTGGTATATTTCATTAAGCACTATAATTATATATAATTGCTATTAGGTTCTACTACTCAGCTAAGTTTATATTGTTTTATTCTACTTCTTTTTTTTATACTCCTTTGTATATGCAGAAATTGTAAAATGCAAACTGTTCCTTTGTGGGCTTATTAGCCCTAGGAACGTATATTAATAAACAAATAAATAAATATGAATGTAATTCACTATTTTTAAGTTCAGCCACTTATGTTTCATTTTTGATAATATTTATAGTAATTTTGCTTAGTGCAATAAAATTAGTATTAAGAGTACTTTGTACAAAAGGGGATAGTTCCGTTTATTACTTAAATAAAAAATAAATAACTGAATTCCTGAGAAATTTTTATTATTCATGAAAATAATTTCATTTCTACGAAGAATTTTTACAAAAAATCTTTGAAGTAATTGAATTCTGTTTGGAAATTTTATGAAAATAGTAGATATTGAAAATCATTGAAATGCGAAAAGTTTTTAAAAATAGGTATAATTAAATTTTACAAAGAAATCATAATCTATTACAATTTTTAACAATAATTGAATGTCTGTGTGGTATTTTATTAAATTTTTTTGAAACTAAATTAAATTCCTAAAAGTATTTTATTATTTATGAAAATAATTGAATTCTTGCGAACGATTTTATTAGAATTTTTTAAAAATAATTTTAAAACAATTGAATTCTTGTGATGAATATAAATGAAGATAATTGAATTTTCGGGATTAATTTTGTTATTTATCTTTAATAATTGAATTCTTTCGAAGAATTATTATTTATGTAAATAATTGAATTCTATTAAAGAAGAAGAATTTTATTAAAATCTAAAAGAATAATTCAATTATTTTTAAAAAATTTAATTAAAATTGTAGTAAAATAATTGATTTCTTTCCAACAATTTTTATTAAAATATTTGAAAATTATTGAATTCCTATGAAAAATTTTATGATTTTTGTAAAGAATTGAAATCTTTCAAAGAATTTAAAAAAACATTTTTTTAAATAATTGATTTTTTCGAGGAATTGAAATTAAATTTTTAAAAATAATTATATTTTTTGATCAATTCAGATAAAATTGTATTAAAAATAATTGAAATCCTAAGATGAATTTTATTATTTATGAAAATAATTGAATCGTTGCTAAGAATTTTAATTTTCAAAAATAATTTAATTTTTGAGAAGAATTTTATTATTTATGAAACTAATTGAATTTTTGATGAATTTTGTCAATTTTTTCTTAAATAATTGAATTCTTTTGCGAAATTTTATGAAAATACTAGATACGTATTGAAAATAATTGAATTTCGAATATTTTTTGAAAATAATTGAGAAGATTTTTTTTATTTCTAGAATTTAAATAAGTAGTGGAAATGAAAAAAAAACAGAAATAGTAGCAAGAAAAGTAGTAAATAGTAGGTTTTAGTAGATGAGTACGAAGCTTGAAATAATAAAATTATGTAATAATTTACCTGAATATTTGTTGTTAAAACTACTATGTAAAAAATACAAGTACTGAAAGTCCAATGGTCTGCGGAAGTACTGTCGTGTAAAATTACCGGATTTATTATCCAGTAAAAATGGCATAAAAAGTAAATTGCACAGCCTTGCCAAATTCCTGTTAATTATTGCAATATTAAACATTAATGACAGTTTCTTCTCTGTCAACATTCAACTACCATATGCACACTAATTTTTTAAAAACCAACCTGTTAGGAACCAAATTAAAAATTGTTTAGTTGACAATAAACTATTTTTCCTATGAAGAATATACAATTGAGGCGATTGTAAGAGTGTTTTTGCAGAATAATTCTGTTCCAGAAGACCGTACATTAAAACTGGAAGAGATGTAAATATGACATTGTAACCCATCATAAAGAAACTGTGATACAATGCCTGCAATAATACGAAGAATAATGAAATAGATATATTATTTACTATTATTTTAAATATTTTTTTAAGTTCTCTACATAATTCAATAAAAAAATTTAATTTTTCTTACTTGTTCAGAGAATCCATTATGAATTTCAAATAGGAATTGTGGCGTTACAAAGACTACATTTTTGTAAAAAAAGTATTGTATTAAATTACTAATTCGAATATAATACCAATGCCCATGAACTAATAGGGCTTTTCTTAAAAACTTAAATTTGGCAAAGGCAAAATCTGCACTCATTGTTGCTTGACGACCTTCTTTGCCCATGATACCTATACCAATATGTGCTTCTTTTATCATTGAAACATCATTTCCTCCGTCACCTATAGCTGCTGTAATAGGTTTCTCTTTAGAATTCTTTATTAAATGCACTATCTGAAAAAAGAAAAAAATACATGGCAGAAACTAATAACTCACATCTTGGTCCTTTTCTTTTCTTGTTGGACATAAATGATATTTCTTTGATCTTTCAATAACATTGCATACCTCACTTTTTTGAAGAGGAGACATTCTGCAGCAAACGACAGCTTCACAACTTTGACTTACATTACGCAGCAAACTTGGAAAATGAGTAATTGCAAAAGCCATACTAGATCCATCTATTAGTAGGCCATAATTGGCAAGAGGTTCTAATTTGATTTTCCTTCTGTAAATTACAAATGTCGAATAAACAACTTTTTGCAATTGTTTCTTAATTTTATTCTTTTACAAAGAGAATACAGCTTATAATTTTTTAATTTTCTTAAAGTATACCTACTCAATGTGTATGAGTGTAGCAAAACATGATTGTACGGAATTTTCCTTCATAAGTCTCAAGACCTCGGTACCCTTCTTAAAATGTCCCGAATGAAAGGCGATATTTTCAGCAGTTTCCGCTTTGTCTCCTGTTAAGACCCAAATCTTTACGAAAATAAAAATTAATATTCTGTTTATTGTATAAAAATAAATTCTTATTCTCTACTTGCACTGTTATAGTAAAATATTTTAGAAGGTTAATTTTACAATTCCGTTATTTTTATTAATAAATAAATTTATTATTAATACTTAATAAAGTATGAGAAAATTAATGTAGGAAATAAAACAAGTTAGGTACTTTTATGTTAGCAGCTTTGAGACTTTCCATTGCATGCGAAACGTCATCTTGCAAACGATCTTCGACTGCAGTAACACCCAATAATGTCAAGCCTTTTTCGAAAAGATCATACGCTTTAGAAATATCATCTTTTCTTCTGTCACCAATTTTTTCACGCGCATTTTCCACATTTCTCATCAATTCCTCGTACTCCAAAGCATCCAGCTTTTTATAACCAATTACAAGTGTTCGATAACCTCTCTGTATGAAAAGTGATTAATTGTTTCAAAATAGAGCATATAGGCAATAAGTTTTATACATCCAATTAGTATTAAAATTTTTAAATTTGTTTGACATATTGGATCCACTATTTTGAATATCTGACTTCAGATTCGTAAATAGTGAAATATTTTTAAAACTTCAGGGTGTCTACTGAAAATATGACTTAAAATTCCAGGACATTACAGGACAGATTTCTTATTTTTCCAGGACATTTATATGTGTAACAGAGTTGCCACAAGTCAGGGAAGTCAAGGAATTTAGGGAAAAGTCAGGGATTTTTACTAAAAATACTGGAAAAAATTAAATTTTTAGAATTTATAGGAAAATTCTGAATTTTTGTGTCTTTTTTGTTATTGCCTTATAAACTATGAAATTGCCAAGAATTCTAATACAAACCCTTCAATTTTTTCTATTTTTGACAATAATTTCTTTTTAAATAACTTTTAAATAATTTCGCATAAGCATAAATTCAATTATGTTCAAAATTTTTTAAAAATTCTCGTCAAAATTTCAATTAACTTTATAAATAATAAAATTCTTCTCCAAAATTCAATTATTTTCAAAAAATTTAATAAAATTCTTGGCAAAATTTCAATTATTTTCAAAAATTTTCCTCATTTCAATTATTTTTAATATCTACTATTTTAATAAAATTTTCCAAAAGAATTCTATATTATTTAAGCAAAATTTTAATAAAAATTTAACAGGAATTCAAATTATTTTAAATTTTTTAATGAAGTTTCTCTAAAGAAATCTGAGAAATTCAATTATTTAGAAAAATTAAAATAAAATTCTTTTAATAATTCTATTATTTAAAAAAATGTTGACAAATTTCTTTGCAAGATTTAGTTCATTAAATTGCAATTTTTATAAAATTTTCCTATACAATTCAATTGTTTTCAATACATTTCTTCTTAAGAATTCAATTATTTTCACAAATAATATATTTTTTATGAGAATTCAATTATTTAAAAGAATTTGAATAAAATTATTCGCTAGAAATCATAATTATTTTCTTTCTTGAGAATTCAATTATTTTTAAAAATTTTGATAAAATGCTTTATAAATTTGAAAAATTATAATAAAATCGGTCATAGAAGACAATTATTTTCGTAAAATACAACATTTTTTCTAGAAATACAATTATTGTCAAAAATGTTTGTAAATCTCTTCGAAACAATTCAATTATTTTCATAAAAAATAAAATTCTTCTAAGCAATTCAATTATTTAAGAAACTTTAATAAAATTCTTCCCAAGAATTAAATTCTTTTTTTAAAAATAAACATTTTCATTTTTTTCTAATTCTTTGTCAGATTTAAATTATTTTCAATTTTTTAATGAAATTTCTAGATAGAATTTAATTATTTTTAAAAAGTTTTTAAAAATTCTGAAAAATTCAATTACCTATTTAAAAAAATTTGAATAAAATTCTTCACAAGAAATTAATTATTTTCATAAATATATAATAAAACTTATCGCAGAATTTCAATTATTTTTATAAAATTTCAAATAAAATGATAGAAAATTGCATTTATTATTACATTTTTTTTTTGATTCGCCGAAAGAATTCAATTATTATTAAAAATTTTGATAAAATTCTTCATAAAAATTCAATTTTAAAAAATATGCAACACACTGAATAAATTATTTATTTTTGTATTTAAATAATTGAATTCTCGGAAAATTTTCTAATAAAAATTAATTAAAAAATGGATTTCATTTAAAATTTTAAATTATCATTGAATATTAAAAAGATTAAAAACATTATAGAGTGAATTTTTAGAAATAATTGAATTTTGAAAAGGGTTATAATTAAAATCTTTGAAAATTTGAATCTATAGTTACAATATTCTTATGAAATAAAATAATGATTTTATTACTTTGTCATCTTAAATTTAATATAAAACATGAGGAAATCGATCACTTCGAATCGAAGACTCGATTTCTTCATGTTTTATAATAATTTTCCCATAAATTATTGAATTTGAGAATCTTAATTTCTATAGAAAAATAATGATGATGAAATATAATTATTTAAAAAAGAAGTTATTCATGTTCTTCAGGGTCAGGGAAAAATGAAAATTTTGTCTGGAAATCAGGGAAAAACAAAATTTAAATTTTGTGGCAACCCTGTGTAATATTATTTCATATTACGATTAACATAATTTAAATTAACCTACTTGAACAAAAATATTTATTTTATTATAAAAAGAGTTAAAAATCATTATTGTAGATACCAGTTTCTTTAATCAAACGACAAATTGAAACTATTTTTTGATAGATCAAAAAAATTATTTTTTTAAATTTGAGTCCTAAAATTTTTAAATTATTGAATATTGAAAAGCAAAATATGGAAAATCCAGGACATTTAAGGACATTTTTTCAAATTCCAGGACATTACCAGGAATTCCAGGACTTCAAGGACCAGTAGGGTTTAATATTATAATAAAAAATTTAATTATAAAATTAAGTTTACAAGAAAATTATAAATAATGTAATAAAAATTAAATTAAAACTTTTTAAATGTAGTAAATTATAATAAAAATTGAATATTTAAAATGAAATATTTAAGTAAATTAAGTAATAAAATTTTAAAAATTAAATTATTTTAAGAATACAAATTATAGATAAGTAAGTTTAATTATTTTAAAATTATTTATTAAAAATTTGTAAAAATTTGCCACATTTTTTTTAAAAATGCTAATTTTTATATGTAAGAAAAATAAGAAATAAATATCTATTAATGGGGGGAACTGTAATTACATTTATAAGAAATAAATTAAACAAATTTAATAATTTTTAATTAAGTGAGTTATTTTTATTAATTGACTTTTGTCAGTAATGGAAAACTGATTTTCTCATAAGTTTTAGAAGAAATTTAAGAAAAAGAGGCAAAAAAAAGAACTTAAAATTTTTAATATGATATAAAATTTAGACCTGATAAAATATTGAATTTTTAATATATATTAAAATATATGTAAATAAATATAGATATATCTATGAAAAAATGTAATTTTTTTGTCATATTAACAAAGTTGATTATATAATTAAATGTAGAATACGTACCATCGAGAAATCAAACACTTGAGCAGATACTTCATCAATGTCTGTTTCAACAATAAGCGGTAAAATTGAGGAATCAGCTCCTTTACAATATAGCCATATGTCGTTTGAAGAATCCTGTACAATTACGGACATTCTTCTTCTCTCTATGAAAAAAAACAATTTAAAATTTTAAACCAAAATGAAGCATTAAATTTTGATCTCTCTCTCTCTCTCTCTCTACCTGAAGTAAACTCAAGAGTTTCCAGTCTTTTAAAAGTAAGTCTTTGATCCTTAGCTTTAATTTCTATTTTATCCTCAAAGTCAGACAGAAGTACAATTCCACATCTTGCGCTTGCTTCCACTAAAGATTTCTCATCAGCTGAAGTTGCCTGCATTACGTCGTAGCATTGAAAAAACAATAAAAAAGATTTATTCAATTAATAGTAAATATAGTCAAATGCTCACTAGTTAAAGTGAATAAATTTCCTCTCTTCTTACCTGATATTCTGGCAATGACGGATGCATAAGAAGAGAACTATGAACTCTTGTTATTTTCTTCATCTTAAAACTGTCCCGATATTCCGTTCGTTTCTTAATCGCATTTGCTGTTTGACTGGGTGACGCTATGTGAACCGTATGACAAAGTGAAATACCCAACCAAAAGTGCCACAGCACCGACTGAAATACATAATAATTAAAATTATTTTTACATTATTAGTCAACTTTGAAACCATATATATATTACATAAGAATTAGATGCGTGAAATATAATTTTTAAATACAATTTTATTTTACATGCCAAGATGTAAGCTTCACTGCTTCATTTTCGTTTCCACTTTGGGGCAAAAGATGGAGATATCCATCACAATCTCTTTCCATATAAACATTTCCATTCACATAGCAGCGCTTGAACACCATTAAATTCTCCGTTAATGTTCCAGTTTTGTCAGTGAACAAATATTCCACCTGACCAAGCTCTTCGTTTAAATCGGACGTGTTGGACAGAGGTGCTTGATCAGTAACTTCGTCATACATTTCAAGATCCCATGTGAAAAATAAGGAACCAAGAAACTTTTGCATTTCTGAAAAAGGAATATTTAATATTCTAAGAATATTTTTAAATTGTTCATTTTCAAATTTTAAAGATTTTTAACGAATTGCCAAAAAAAATATTGTAAATTTTAAAGCATATATACGTCCTAGTCTTCAAATTCATTAACAACGTCGCATAAACTAAAATTAGTTTAAAAATAATTCAGAGAATATAAATAAGAAAAATATTTTCATACCTACAGTAACATACAAAGATATCGGTACAATGTAGTTAAACAACAGCATAAAGTTAAGTATGCTAATTAAGATTTTGTAAAATTTCTTTAATTTGGCTTCTCCCAAATATGCAATCCATTTGGAATTGTAGTTAAATATTTGTTGGAGTATAACAGAGATTAAAGATGTAACTATCAAAAGTGCGATGAATACCATTAGATATCTGTTTATGGACCTGAAAAGAAAAGAAAATAAAGCATGGTTTCAATAAGCTCTTTGCCAAAGATCAAAGATGTCAGCTTTGATTAAAAAATTTAAATATATTTCAAAAAGGATCCTAAAGAATATTCTGATTCACTCTAAAAATTATTAGATACTCAAAAAAATGTTCTATTAAATTTGTTTACAAATTTCTTCAAAAGTAAAATTATTCGAAAACATCAATTGTTTTAAATAAATATTTAATCATTAATTATTATTATTATTCCATAGGAATTAAGATTTAAAAAAAATTCCAAACTCAAACCTTTATAAAATTTAAATTTCCATAAAATTTTTCAAAAAAAATTAAATTATTTACAAAAATTTTTAATAAAATCCTTCGCAAGAATTCAATCATTTTTAATAAAATTTTAAATAAATTCCTCGAAAAATATAATAATTTTCAAAAATTCTTTGCAAGAATTCAGTTATGAATTATTTTTAATAATTTTTGCAAAAATTCTTTGAGTACATATTTTCAAATCCATTTGTTTACGAAATAGAACGAAATGTTTACGAATTAATTTTACGAGATTTCGATTATTCGGAAATTCTTCAATTAACCCTCGGAGAACACACGGGATCATTTTGACCCCACGATTTTTTGCGAAAAGCTTTTTATCTATTATTTAATATTTTTTATAAGGATTTTAAAGTACACAGACTTATTTTACAGAGTTTAAACTGTATTTTCAAAAAATCCTTAGGTTAAGCAGATGAACAGTTCAAAATTGGTTGAACATTGAAAAATGACCTAAAAAAGAGGTGTGTTCTCCGAAGGTTAAATATTTAGAAAATAAAAACTTGAAAATAATTTTTAAAAAAAGGACTTTTTCAAAAAAATCGATTATACAGAATTGTTAAATTTTAAATCAAAATTCATTTTTAAATCAATTTTTCTTAGATACATAATCTATTATAAATAATTAAATGTTTCTAAAAATTGAATTTTTATAAAGAATTATTATTAACAAATTTTTAAATAATTGAATTTTCTCCGACGTAATTTAATAAAAATTTCAAGAATAATTACATTTTTCGAGGAAAACGATTAAAATTTTGTTTTTAAAATAATTGAAATTCTATGATAAGTTTTATTATTCATGAAAATAATTGAATCTTTGTAAAAAATGTTATTATTTATGATGAAAATAATTAAATGTTTGCTTAGAATTTTATCAATATTTTTTTAAGTAATTAAATTCTTTTTTTTTCTTTTTTTAAAATTTTCTTTAAAATTATAAATTCTTTTAGAAAATTTTATGAATATAGTGGATATTAAAAATCATTGAATTATGAGGAAATTTTTTGAAAATAATTGTAATTTTGCCAAGAATGTTATTAAAATCTTTGAAAATAATTGAATTTCAGAGAAGAATTTGATTATTTATAAGGATAATTGAAATTTTGAAGAGAATTGTGTTTAAATTTTTTGAACATAATATTGAATTTCTGTGAAGAATTTTATTACTTTTGAAAACAATTGAATTTCTGCAATCAGTTGTAATTTCTCCAAAATTCAATTTTTTCCAGTACTTTTATAAAAATTCCTGACTTTTTAATTATTAATTAAATTAAAATGTAATTAATTATTTTTTTAAAACACTTATTGATTGTCAAATACACAATAAATGTTTCTAAATCATATAAAGGAAAATATATAATTTTTATTAAAAAAATAAGTGCAAAATGAGTTTAACAAAAAAAAAAAATTTGCAATAAAAAATTTTTTTTTAAATGTTCAACGCAAGATAACTCGAAGTTACAGTATGAAAATTTATACTCAATATTTATTTTGTTATCTTACACACTACTTACAGTTGCCATTATCTTGCACTTCACTTTAAAAGAAAAATTATCTGGTGCAAATTTTTTAATAATTTCATATTACACCTGCTTTCTAGTATAAGAATTCTTTTGAAAATTATTATTAATTGAATTATTAATTATTTTTATGAAATTTAAAAAATTGTTATCTCTTAAAAAGCAATATTTTTATTTTCAAGTTTTTAAGTATGAATTTTTACTCGCAAAGAAAAGAAGGTGATCTATATTAAATTTATTGTAAAACTAACTTACTTCTCGGCTGTGGAAAATTTATTTACAACTTGTTTCGAGTTGAGAGATAATTTTGTATCCTGACCAGTATAAATGCAGCAACCAATTACGTAATCCGTGTCCTTAAGTCTTGATCCTCGTAGAAGAACATTGTCTATTGTGAGAGTTCTACTTATTGTTTCACTCTCCATATTTACTTCCAGTTTGCCATGAAAAGAATACAGATCGGCTTGTGGATGCTCACAAGTTACAACTGCTTTCAAGCCAACAATATCTGACATGTTGCATGAGGATAAAATTTTAGGCACATATAAAGTCTGCAATAAAAGAGATATATAAACATCCTGCATTCTTACTTCATTATGATATAATATTAAAAGAAATATTTTTAATTTTAATTTTTAACCGAAACCAAAAATTTGCCCTATTCTACCCCCGAGAAATCCAGCGATTGAATTTTGTTGAAACTTGTTACTCAGGTGCTTTTGGGGTCGCTGATTACGAATCTGAAGTCAGATTTTCAAAATTTTGAAAATTCAAAATGGCGGATCCAATATGGCGGACATTTTTTTTAAATTGTTTAAATTTGCATAAAACTTGTTACTCGGGGGTTTTCGGGGTCGCTGATTACGAATCTAAAGTCAAATTTCAAAATTTCAAAATGATGACCCCAAAAACCCCCGAATAACAAGTTTCAAGTGAATTTGAGTGAATTCATCATCTATTTAAACTTAATTCAAATAAACATAATAAACTGTTTATAAATTACATTACCTTTAAATTATTTTCTCCATCAAGATTGGACGTTGTAATGTAACAATAACCAGACGTTTCACTGCTATATAGAAGAACCAAATCACACGGGACATCTTCATTTCGATTAATTTTCAATAAATCCCCTACAATTATTTCTTGACAATATATTTTCTGTAAATTTGTTTAATAAACAATATGAAATTTTTTTTTAACAATTATTATTTTCTACAATTTTTCACTAACATTCTTCTTTAAATCAATTATTTTTAATAATGTTTTAAAAAGTACTTTGACAATTTTCAAATCCATTTCTTTATAATTCCATTTTACCAAATTTCAATTATATTCGGAAATATTCTTCAATTAAATGTATATTAGAAAATAAAAACTTTAAATAATTTTAAAAAAAATTCAATTAAACTTATTCGAAAAAATTAATTCTACAGAATATTTTCAAAGATTTTAAATATTAAAGCCTTTTCAAAATTCAATTATTTAAAAAAAAATTCATGCTATAATGCTTTTAATATTCAATTATATTATTATCTAAAATTTTAAATGAAATTCATTTTCAAATTAATTTTTTAAATTTTTATTAGAAAATTTTACGAGAATTCAATTATTTAAATATAAAAATAAATAATGTATTGATTAATTAAATGTTTCCCAAAATTGAATTCTCATAAAGAATTTTAGAATTGTTCATAAACAATTTTTTAAATAATATTGATTTGAATTTATCACTCGGTGTACAATTTTTTAAATAATTAAATTCTTTTGATGAACCTTTAATAAAATTTTTTAAGAATAATTTTATTTTTCGAGAAATTCGATTAATAATTGTGTAAAAAATAATTCAAATTCAGCAATGAGTTTTATTCAAATGTTTATGAAAATAATTGAATCTCTGTAAACAATTTTTAATTGTTTATGAAAATAATGGAATTATTGCGAAGAAATTCATAAAAAATTTCTAAATAAATGAATTCCTGAGAAATTTTTATTATTGATGAAAATAATTTTTTAAATTATTAAAATTATGGATTTTTATAAAAGCAATATAATATCACACTAAAATAATTAAATGTTTACGTAGAATTTTATTAAATTTTTTTTAAAAATTCAATTCTGGAAATGAATTTTGTAAAATTTTGAAATATTACATATATTTAAAATCATTGAGTTGAAGAAAATTTTTGAAAATAATTGAAATTATGCCAAGAATTTAATTACAATTTTAAAAAATAATTGAATTTCAGAGAAGAATTTTATTATTTTTAAAAACAATTTAATTCATTTTTAAAGATAATCCCGTTTACTGCTTAAATAATAATAATTGAATTATTTTTAAAAATCATTGAATTGAGGAAAATTTATGAAAATAATTGAATATTGCCGAAGAATTTTATTATTTATAAAAATAATTAAAATTTTGAAAAGAATTTTAAAAAATTTTTGAACATAATTGAATGTTTGCGAAGAATTTTATTGCTTATTGAAAATGATTGAATTTCTGCAATCATATTTGTAACTATTCCAAAATTAATTTTTTTTTACTGTTCTTCACTAAAATTCTTCTATAAATTCACTATTTTTAATAACTAATTGAATATATATTTTTAAAAATTTTACTAATATTTTATATATTTAATTAAGTAAATATATATAGAAAATTTAACTCTCACCTGAAGACAATTATTCCGAACAGCTTCAATTGAAGTTAAATTGACCCGTTGATCTGATTTGTAACGAAGAAAATCCTCATATCCTTGTTTACAAGCAGTGACAAAAATGACGAACGACAATGGCAAAGCACTCGTCCAAGGTGAAATTGGAGAATCGATCAATAGTGAAATGATAATTGTTATTAAAAAATAAAAATTCGTCAATCGTCTAAATTGTTCGTAAAGATTTTTTGGTACAAAGTTCCACAGTGTGTACTAAAATAAAATTTTTAAATTATTTTTTGTTTCGAAAAGAAAAAAATTTTAACAAAATATATATATTAAAAAATACCTTATTTGTCGATATACGATTACAGTAAAATTGATTTTTTGAAGGCACATTATTGCAGTTTATTTGAATTGTTCTGTAATCGGAAACAATTGAAGTTTCATTACCCTGGAAAATAAACAAAAAGTGTGAATTATAATTTCTTATTTTTGTACTTGACTTCCGCTTCTGAATAAAATTACATATATTTTAATAATAAATTCTATTATCTAATTGTGTGATTGAATATTAATTAATTCAGAAACTGTGCATTTACGATTTTCCGCATTTTATATGACGCATTCGGCGAATAATTATTGTCTACCCACATTTATGCGTATGTATTATAAATATTGCAACTGTAAATATCACATTTTTACTTTTGTCATTTGAAAATTAAAAAAAAATTCATTGAAATTTATTTCTTACGAGACTATTTATAGTTTCATATTTTATTTAAAAATAATTACTAAACTCTTAAAAAAACCGGAATTTCATTATCATTTATCATTAATTAGTGATGAAAGAAAATAAATTCCAATAAAACCCTTTTTTCGCTAAAAGAAACTCTAAAAATAATTATAATTATTACAAATTAAAATAAAAATTTGTAAAATTGCTTTAAATATACCCCACATTTAACAAACAGAAACCTCGCAGGTTTCATGTAAATTTTTCTGTAAAAATGAACTTGCGAATGACATTTAAAAAAAAATAATAAAAATACAATAAACTTTTTTCTATGAAAATAATTATCTTTTCTCACTAAAAAACATTTTTTATAACAATTATTCTTTTTAGTATTATCAAATTTTTCTCTGTTTATAAAATAAAAAAAGGAATATTTTGATTATGAAATATTAGAAAAAATAATTTAGTAAAAAATGGCTCACCGTTATAGATTCATACATGTAGTTTCTCATTTAAGGAAGTAAATATTTACGATTAGAAAGAGTATAGAATTATAATTTTAAAAAAATATATTCTACTTAGAGTTGAAAAGTTAAATTTTTTAAGAAATTTTTTCATGTTTAACAAATGATTTGAGACGATAAACTGAAGTGTTTTTATTGGTATACGTTAATTATTACTAACATCTAAGATTATAATTCATAATTTAATTCTCACACTTGGAACAATTACTTGCTTTGTTTATGAGACTTTCAATAGATTCTTATATATTCGCTAATATTTATATATTAATATAAAACATATATGATTATTTATTCAATAAAATATTTTATTAATAAATAATTAAATAAATATTGTATTTTTAGAATTTATTTGTTTTTATAATATTTTTATATTTATAAAATATTTATAAAATATTTATAATAATAATTATAATATATTATTTTATAAATTATAATAATTTACAATAATTACAAAATAAAGTGTCCCATCAATAATTTTTGTTATTTTCCCTCCCCTTCTAATTAAATTGTTCAAATAATTTATTATTATATTGATGTTTCAAATTTATTTAATAAATAATTAAACATGTTATCGTTCCATATAGTTTAGGCCAAAAAAAAATAAAAACATAATTAAACATAAGTTGCAATTTTTTCTTGCTTTAATTTTTAATAAAGTTTAGGATTAGAAAAAAAAAGTTTAAAAAGTCCTCTGCTTCTAAAAAAATTGAATTTAAAAAAATCATATTTTCATTTAGGAACAAAATAAAAAAGTAAGTATTATCTTATTTTTCATACAAAATTAAAAAAAAAATTGTTTCAAAAAAAAAAATTCTTTTGATGAAAATTTCTCACGGAATGGTGCACAAAATCTTGAGAAAGAGCAATAAAAATACAATCATTTATATTTTTCTAAAAATTTCATATTTTTTTAGTGATTATTTTCGTCTTTAAAAAAATGTCATGGTAATACTTAATTACTATCTATGGAACCTTAAGTTTATAGCGATTTCCGGCAATTCTTTTTATTTCTAAAACATTCACTTCGCCGCGCCGTATTTACTCATTGATAGATGAAACATTTTTTAAGATTTTACAATGACAATATAATGATAAATTATTGCTTACAAAATGATATAATTTTATCTTTTGTTAATATTAAGGATGATTCCTTCTTTTTATCTCTATTTAACTTAAAGAAAAACCGGAAAAAAAATTATAAGTATAACATTCTGTCTTCAATACCGCCACATATTTGATGTTTATCGATATATTTAAAAATTCCCAGATGAGTTAAACATTATAATTTAGTTTCAAGTTTAAATGTACCTACTTTATGTTTACTTGCAAAAAATGATTTCTTATTTTTTTTCAAAATATTTCAACAAAATACCACATTTTTAATACAAAATGCAACTCATTTCGATTTTTAAATAATGTTAAAAATAACTACAGGCAAATATCTCAAAATTACATTTTTGAATCATTTTTTACGATAATAATATTTTTCAAAAATAATTAAAAAATTTTTGAATAGTTGAAATTAGGTAAAATTTTTAATTGAAAATAATTGTTTTTCAAGTGTTTTATTACAAATTTTAAAAACCAGCTTTTAAAGAATTTTAATTGCAAATTTTGAGAATAATTGAATTCATTCTAATTTTTTAAAATTCAATAACATATTTCTGAAAATTCAAACACGAATAATAAATAATAACATTGAAACATTTTAAAATCGTTTTTATAAGTTTGGAGGAAACAATCATGTTCAAAATTTTTAATTAAAATTCTTTAAAAAGCTGTTTTTTTTTATATTTTTAAAAAATTGAATCATTTTTGTTACCAAATTTTAATTGTTTTGAAATAATTATTTTAATTGTATCTCATTGAAAAACATTTCACACATTATTTATGAATTTCTTTATTATAATTTTTTTGAAAATATTGTTTACATTATTACATGTTTCACACATTATTTAAACATTTCTTTATATTATAATTTTTTGAAAACTTTTAAAAAAACGTGAACGGTTACATTTTTTTTTTATAAATAAATTGAATTTTTGTATTTAAATAATTGAATTCTCGAAGAACTTTCAGAAAATTATTCAACATAATATTGATTTAGAGATAAAGTTTAGTTAGAAATTGTAGAAAATCTTTGAATTTTAGAAGGCAATTTTTAGAAATTATTAAATTTTAAAAGGTTTGAAATTGAAATTCTTCGAGTGGAAAAACAAATAAGAAGTATTTAAATATTTGTTTAACAAAATTATTCAAGTTTCATTGAATGTAGGGGAAGGGGGGGGGGTCAAAAATGGTAAAAAATTGTCCACATGGTATATGAACGACACCTTATGTTTGGAAAAACAAACTTGCCGCAAACTTACCAGCTATATCTGTTTTATAATATATATTATTTAAAATAAAAATTCAGAATCATTTTCTTTGTTACCATACCCACGCAATTTTTAATAAAATAAAATTAACACAATTTACAGAGTAACTTAAAAAAGTCATTCAAGGACTTTTAAATCTAGATATTTATGTACTATATTAGAAATGACTATATTACATTCTATTATTGTATAATCATAATTGTAAATTTAAAAATAGATAACTTTAATGTCCTTTTTTTTATAATGAACACCAGAAAGACAAGTTAAAGTTATTTACATTTAAAAAAATTTTTATTTTTTCTATAATTTTTATATTTATTAATTTGGTATTAATTAATTTATATTATATTATATCTTTAATATTTGTTTTTTCATTTACTTATTTAAATCACAGTCTTTATAATTTATATTAGTTCATACTTTATATTAATTAATAATAATATGATTGTTATGAATGAATAAATTTAAAAATATTTACATATTTAGTGCGGGTTTATTATTTGATTAAAATTCTATTTTATAAATTAGGAAAGTTTGTTTTACATAATATATTATTTATGAAACAAAAAAATTGTGCTTTAAAAAATGAATTAAATAACCGACTGCTTGACTATTATCGAATAAATATTTAATTGAATCAAGTAAATTTTATTTAATTCAAATAAATTGTATTTAAAGCAATAATTTTAGTATTTTGAGCAAATACTACGATTTAGTTGATTTAAATAAAAATTATTTGATCCACCTAAATATTTATTTGATAAGCGATTGTTTGAATGAAATACATTTTTTCTGTGTTGATTTTTTTCTATTTTAATTTATAATTAATAACAAAATTTAAAATTGAAACTTACCATTGAATATAAAACTTAATATTCACTTTTTTTTAATCCAATGAATTATTTGACACCCGAAAAAAAGACACAAATTAAGATGAGAAAATGATGTTATTATGTAGACATTTTTGTATATTTTGCGGTGAGAATATAAAAGTGAGAGTAAGTAAAGGTATAGTTTTGGCTTTGCTGTAGATAAGAGGTATTTAACTAATAACTAATTTTTGGATAAGTCTCAGAGTGGGGAATTGTTTGCGAGTTTCGACAGTGATACACCGACCGCGGTCCGGATTTCTATTGAAAAACGTAATCAGTCATCAAACTGACTCACTCTGATTTTTTAATTTCTAACCCTGTTCAAAATTACCTTTTAATCCAAACAAAATTATAATTACAAACCATTAATGTCAATTTAAGAAATTTAACCATTTTCCCACTTTTATTTTAAGCTAACCGGCTTTTTTTTTATTTAAGACAACTATTAAACAAATAATTTTCAAGAAAAAATTTTTTTTTAATAAATTTTAAACCACTTGTTAGGTTCACTTTTTTTTAAATAAGAAAAGTTTGATATAAAAAAGAAATATTTCTGAATAATTAAAGGATGTTATGATAGTTGATTTATTTAAGAGTTCCGCTTTAATAATAACGTAAACGAATTAACGAACACAGCGACTCGTAGTACACTGACAACTAATAGTGTCGCTTATTTATCCTTAAACATATATAATGGATCAATTTCTTTATCGTTCGGCACATCTATAACCACACTCTACCTATGAGTAGTTATACGGAAACAATAATTTCACACGAGGTGGAAGTCCATATAGAGATAAGGATAAGCGCATATAATCCAAATGACTAAAAGTTAACAAGTTATTTTCTTTTTTCGCAAATTCATTTTTCTTTAAGAATCATTATTATAACTGACGTTAAGTATTTAATAGCTGATAATAAATTTAATAATTTAATATTACGAAACAATCGCAATTTTATAGGTCTGCATAGAATCTGATCTTGAACTATAAAAGGTAATATCTACCATAAATCGAAATAAGTTGCAATTTATACTAAAAATGTGGTATTTTATTGCAATATTTGAAAGAAAAGTCGAAAAAGTCTCAATTTTTGAAAATAAGTCGAAGAAAGTCGATGAAGTCCTATATAATATCGAAGGCCTGAATATTCACACAAATTCATGAAATTAAACAAAAATTCGTATAATACCAAAACTCCTACATGTTTTTTGAACTTGGGAAGAAATCCTGTCGTAATGGATCAAAACTACGATTTCAATTTTGACTCGTGATTTGAAAATTTTTACTAATTTATTTTTTCCATGCAGATATTAATACTAACATAAATAAGTTTACACAGCTTTTAATACAGGTGTCGCAAAATATAAGTAAATTAAAAATATTAAAATAAGTTTGAAAATTAAAATAAATTTCTAAGAATTTTGTCTATAATGCCAATAGCGGTGGAAAATAATACAAATATTAAAATGGAGAAATATTTGCCTTTGACGCTCATAATGAAATTAAAAATTAAAAATATACTTTCAAAAGGCGAACAGTTTGTTAAAATGTAAAATAATTAAAATTTGTATTTATAATTTATTGTAATTTTTGTTAATATAGAACAGTATAAACTTGATGATTTTTCAATTGAATTCGTAGAATATTTACTCCTTAACAGTTTGTTAAAAATCTCATATGAATTCATAAATTCTTGAGTTATCTGATTTATCTTGAAATAATTACACAACCTCACAAAAAAAGTACCCGGGCCGGGGAATGGGACCACCCTTTCCATGTATTTTGATGCGCTCACGAAGTAGTGATAGAATAGAAATTTCTACTGATCTGTTGTACACTCTCACTCTTTTGAATGCGCATTTCATATTTTGGTGAAGTCAATTAAGAATAATAGATTTTGCTACTTTTCCTTGCTCCACCGAGGAATTGTATTATTTTGGAAATTCGACCATTCAAAAGAAATGAACTTCTGAATTCTTTTCAATTCCTCGCTTCTTACCGGGTACACATACGAATTTCTTTATAATATATATAATACACAAAGAAAACAAATGTTTCACAAAATCTAAATAGAAACTATATGTGAAAATGATAGGAATGTTTTTATGACTCATATTTACCTCATAATTAACTTCAGTTTGCTATACCAGATTTCTCGAGTCTCATTAAAATTCATTTATTTTGATGTAAATATTTATGCACTTTGCATTTATAATTATCCACACTTGTTAAAATAAAAATAAATTATTTCAATATCGTTTCATCTAACAGTTGTGTTAATTGATTTAGAATTAACAATAGATTCCGAGTTCTATATCTATAACATTGCTGAATGATTATTTATCTTTTTTCTCAAAGAAATTCATTATTTTAGAAGAACAAAGAATACTTTATTGTTATAAGTAGCAAATTTTTGTGCATATAAAATTATGTGTATGACTCCACGTGAAATTTACCTATAACCTTGGGGTGGTTCATATACCACGTGGGCAATTTTTTATCATCTTTTACCCACCCCTCTTCCATATATAAAGATGGTTTTTTATTTTAAGATGGTAAATAAATTAATATTTGATAAAAAAATATTTACGATATTTTAAAATATCTTAAAGTTTTGTACCTCCGACCTCGAATCGACTGTATCTTTAGTCGATTCAAAATAAAAAAGAGTGGAAGAAATCGTTTATTTAATTCAGTGTTGCCACAAAAATATTATTTTTTATCCCTGACTGATCTGGCCATTGATTTCTAAATTCAATTATTCAACACTTTAATAACTTTGTTAATTAAATATTTAAATACTTTTTATTGGTTTTTCAATTATTAAAATATTTTCAATTTTATACCTTATTTGAAATTTAATAATTCCAAAAAATAATTTTAAAAAAATTCTTAAAATTAATTTTTTAAAAATATTTTTAAATAATTTTTAAAAATTAGAAGTTATTCAATTATATACAATTGAAAAATTTCGCAACAATTGAAATTTGGTAAATTTTTTTTAAAATAAGTGAATTTTGGTAAAATCTATTCAAAATAATTGGATTTTTTAAAATAATTTTTGGATAATTTAAAAGAAAACTACTTGAAAATAAGTGGAAAAAGTTGCATTTTTTGAAAATAGTAAAAAAAAAGTGGAAAAAGTCATATAACTATTAAAATTAATTTTTTTTAATAACAAATCTTTTTAAAATGAAATAAAACAGTTTTGTAAAATTTGAAAGTAGGATAAACAAAATAAATTTAGTAATTAAGAATCAGAATTTATCGATCACTCCGAGTCAGGTTGATAAAAACAACCAATTCAATCTACATATTAAAATAAATTTAAATTTAGGGTGGGCACTTTTTCAAAAAAAAAAAATTCACGGTCATGAATTATTTTTCCCGGTCATAAAGAATAACTCTGAAAATAAATTATTCCATGAAAGATTGAAAGAATTCCTTGATTTTTAGACAAAACTTTGAATTTTTTCCAAACCCTAAAAATATTTATAATTGAAACTCCAAAATAAGTTTATAATACATTTTTTTGAATATTTTTAATTGTAAAATCATTTGGAACTTAAATAGATCTTTGGAAATAAATATTTAATTATTATCCATTATATTTTACCGTAGGTATTACGATTTCAAAAAAAAAATTCAAATTTCAAATCCTTTGAACTTGAATAATTTTTAAGAATTGCTACTGTAATTATTAAAAATTATTTTCAAAATTTCAATTCAATTATTTTCTACAAATTTTAATTAAAATATTTGTAAAATCCACTTGTTTACAAGACAATTTCATGAAATTTTGAATAATTTTAAAGTTTCTCAATTAAATATTATATATTTAAAAATATAACGAATTTGAAAAAAACGTGAATAAAAATGTTTCAAAAAACTAAGTATTCAGAATTTTTAATTAAAATCTTTTACAATTCAACTTTTTTAAAACTTTAATTTGAAAGTTTTTTAAATTCAATCTATATTATAATATTAGTAATTAGTTCAAATTTTTTGTAATTCAAATTTGTTTTGTGATAAATAATATTATTGTAAAAAAAATTTATAAATTGATTTATTTTTCACTATTTTATAGGATGTGAAATATTCTCTCTTTCTAATTTTTTCGACGAATTTAATTAAAAATTATATTTTCTTTAATTATTGTTAGAAATAGAAAGAATTTAAAATTAAATTTAATATTATCTTTTTTTTAAGTCTGTTTACGTTGGACAACAAAATTCATCATTTTCTTATAAATTATAGAAATTGAATATTTTTCCAGTACTTTTGATAAACTCCCCTGACAAAATAAAACAATTTTATATATAGAAGATCATTCAATCTTTTTTAATGAAATATAATTAAATATAATAATATAATAATCAGTGGTTTTAAAAAAAAATTTCCAAAATACCGGTCAAGATCAAAATTTACTGTCATTTCCATTTAGTTAAAATGTTAATAATTTTTTACATGCCACTTATTCAAAATTAACTTATTTTGGAATAATTCCATAAAATCGCGCAGTGAAATTTACTTCACCGAATCACCAGTTGCCATAAGCTATATTTATTAGAATTATTATTTAATCTAATTTTCATTTTCCCGATGATTCATTAGCTCTAATTTTTATTTTGCAGATATATTATTGAATAGAGATTTCGTTATAGCCCGAAGAAACATTTGACATTATTTTCATTTGTCCAATAATTAATTGTTTGGACTAATTTTCGATTTTCCGATATTTCATCTGTTATAATTCCTATTTTTCTAAATCATTAATTAAAATTTGTTTTTTTTATTCGAAATGTTTTTTAACCTAAATATCAATTGCTCTAAATGTAAATGTGATTCGTTATAATTACCATTGTCTCGAATAATTATTTACCAGTATTTACTTTTTACAGAATTGTCATATAAACTATATCCTATTTGCTCTAATGTTTATTTAACAGAAATTCACTTACCTCGAAGTAGCATTCAGCCGAATGTCAGAAAGATTATTTAACATAATTTTCGTTTTGCCGAAACTTTATTTCACCTAATTTTAAATTGTGATATTAATTGTTTAACATAAATCTATTTCTACTTTATTTGTATGTGACATATTGTTCTTTTATTTGAATTGTCAAATCGTCGAATGCTCAAAACGTCGAAATGTCTATTCGTCGAATCGTCAAAACGTCGAATTGCCAAAAATTCGAAAAATTTGTTTGATTTAAGTTAACATATTTTTCGAATTGGTAATGAATCATGGGGAAAATGAAAATTAGATTAAATAATAATTCTAATAAATATAGCTTATGGCAACTGGTAATTCAGCGAAGTGAATTTCGGTTACTTGTTATTATGTCAAATGGGATTTGTGGAAGATTGATGCGTCCCCTTTCAGTGAAATAATTGAAATCGAAAATTTAGTTACAGCATTGACTTAGAACTGTGAGACTGTGTTTATCGTATGAGACAGTGTAAGATGAAATCAGACTTACCGACAATTTTCAAAAACCACGAGCTGTACACTTCTGCCATCTGTACAATAACAAAAAACTTAATCCTCGACCAATATTGGTTTTTTTATGCATTTTTTTAACATTCTGTTGCAGCATGTGTCAATTGATATCAATAAATACCCGCGACGAGAATG